CGCCCCCTCCACCCCTAGTTTTTTTTATTTCTCAACTTGCTTCTTCATTCTTTCTACTTGTTTTATTTTTTTTTTTTCCCATTTTACACGACACCCGAGAGTGCCTCGTAAAGACTCGAGCGCGGCCTGAATTTTTAAACGAAAACACGCGAAAACTTTACCTCCCCCTCTCCACCCATCGTCCAACACCCCCTGCACCCCCCATTCCATCGTTCCATCGGTCCCACCCACCACCCCCTCACCCTCCTCTTACACCCTTTTTTTTCAAAACTTTTTCGACTGCTTTCGTTTTATTTTTTCCCGCTACTGTTTTATTTCTTTTTTTTTTTTCGTTCAAGTTGGGATTTTTTTTTTTATTGGCACACTTTTTGCTTAAGTATCGCGAGGAGGGGAATTCCGGGAAAGGAAAGATACGGTGGGAGGGAAAACGGGGAGGAGGAAAAGCAGATAGCGAAACTCAAGGTTCTAACACCAATGTACAGCCGGAATACTGAAATGAAATGATCGATCGTTGGTCGTCCATCGGCGCGACAAATGTGGCATTGTATTTGTTACCCCCTCGCGTCTGTTTTATAACTCGAGCAAGGTCCCGATGAATTTTAATAACTGACAGATTGTGGATTTCGTGTGGAGAATTTTCCAGGTATCGGGGGGAGGGATCGATGGAATTAAATCATTGATTGAAACCGTGATTATCGTGACATTCCGGGAGAGGCTAGTCTGATTATGTTGATTTCAGATAGTATGGAGGAGCCGTTCACTTTTTTTTTTATTGGTGAGTAGCCGTTCACTGAGATTCAAGAATTTTTATGATTGACCAAATTTTCTGATTTAACGAACTCCAGATTATCAGCAGAATAATGGTAAATAAACGGGTGATAACGATCTCCGGAATTTTTTGGAAATACCTCTAGATTGTGGGAGATATCGAAATTTTGGTGCAAAGATTTGTCGCGCATTTTGATTAGATTTTGAAAAGAGATCACGAAAAAAATTTATCCTCGCGATCTCGCGATTTTTAGTGGTAATCAAGTTGAATCGATTTACCGGTTCGTTATTGATGTGATGATAACGATTTTGTGAATCGGTTTATCTGAAATGTGTGATGTTCGGAATTTTGATATCTGATTTTTCAATTCTTATTGAACTATCGTGATACCGGGAATATTACGCAATGCCTCGATGAAAATATCAGTAATTTATTCAATTAAATTCAGAAAAGCTGAGAAAATATTTCCCCTGGATTAAAAGATAATCGCAAAAGTGGCGGAAAACTAGACTTTAAATTATCTCGTCCTATCGCACCGGTGATTTGTTGATGGGAGTCCACAACTCCATGGATAATTCCACGTAATCTTGAAACCCGTGTTGGCTTCCGGGAATCACCAGTAAATCCTAGATGAACAATACTTCAAAAAATTCCGAATCACCGATAAATCATAAACTCTTTCGTGGAATCTAATGCGCGACGATATCACAAAAATCCTCAACACGTCGAGATGTTCAGTGTCAAGACATCTGGAGGAAGTGGACGACTAGATGATAACGACATCCGGAAATGTTCTCCCATTAACGTCAAAACCTTCACCATTGCACGAATAAACCCTCAAAATCATTGGCTCGACCATTCCATCGGAATTTCATCGATTGTTCCACTTTCAGTCGCAATTTACTGCCTCCCCAAACCCTCCCAAGCCCCCACCACTCCTTCCATAAAAACAACATTCACCTAATCGTCGGAAAAACATGAAAACCCACGGTCTAACGAAGAAAGAAGCCCTGAAGAAACCCCAGAAATGAATTGATACGAATTGATATGAATTGATACGAATTAAATATAATTGAAACTCATTGAATCCCAAACTCGCTCCAAAACACTCCATCAGCCCTGAAAATGGCGTGACCTGTCAACTGTGAGGTTAGATTCACCACCTGAATATTCAAGCAAATCCAAACACCCGAGAACCCCTAGCACCCCTAAGATAACCTTTTTCCAACCCCCAGTGCACAAACCCCAGAAAGTACTCCTTATCCCTCCTTATCCCTCGTTCCTGCCCAAAACCTAACCTCAAACCCGCCCCAAGAACCTCCAAAATTCCCCAATTCAAGTAAAAAAAAAAAAATCCCCCAAAGAAGCCATGAAACCCTGAATTACCTTTCACACAGCAATCGACGTCTCTCCGTCACCACTTAATCCACATCAACGAACAAAAACCGATGAACACTGCACTGAACAACAAAAAAAAAAATCACCCACAGTAAACAAGTAATCACCGCACCTCGGCCACTGGCTAAAATTCCCAATTTCACTTCAACTGTCGTTGATTTCACAAACACCAAGTGTAACTCTCGTTTACCAGAGTAAAATCACCAATTTCCCGGGTAAATATCACCGACTAAAGGCGATAGTGACGGACGGGCGACATTACGAGGGACGCGCGACGCGCCCGAAACTCATGCCCCAGGTGTTATCACGAAAAACAGCAAATCCCCGTGATTAATGCCACCTGAAATAAAGCCGTCAATTATTGTGGGTCTTATCAAGAACAGGTTATGACGATATGAGACACAAACGAGAGCATGCCTCCAACGTTTATTCTGCCTGACAACGAATCACGTGGTACAATTTTGTCGCGTCTCTGGCCCGGAGTCAGCAACAACGTATCCCCTCTCCTTGGATAATTTATCCTCAATGCCCTCTTGTTCCTCTTGTTCCCTTTCACTGTCCACCGGGTGCATTTGCTCTCACTTGCCTCATCAACTCCTCACCTTTGATTCACAGCAACCCACTTTTTCCACAACAACTCGCCAACCACCACGACACACTGAATTTTCGTTTCTCTTGGTGTTGTAAATCCGAGAAATTGAGACGAACTGAGGAGGAGAGAGTTGCGGAGAAATAGCGGGGATATCGAGGGGAATAGGGGGTAATAGAGGCTGAGGGGGAGGAAAGGGAGGGAGGGGGACAATAGGGGGATGACGGCGATCGTGACCGTTTGCGTCGCTACGCACGAAAGCACCGAACACCCCCGCGGCAATTCCTCTATTGAACTCGCCCGCCAAAGGGTCAAAAGCACCACAGCAAAATAACAACAAAACGTGGCATCAACTTTTTTTCTCTTGAATTTTCACCACTCACTTCCACCTGTCTACTGTCCCCGGGGCTCGATTATCCAGCAACTACGTCGGCCTTGCCCGGATTCTCAACACCTCGAGGATTGTTCACTCACTGAAAGCACTCTGGTTATTCCACTTGTTTTCGTTACCAACTATCAACCATGCATTTTTCACACATTTTTTTTTGTTTTCTGGTGACTGGAGGAGAAGACGGGGAGGGGATCACGAGGGGAAGGGGAGGCACACTCTGTTGCGAGGGAAATGGAGATTGTGGGGGGGAGGCGTTGTTGCTATTTTGTCGGTATGTGGAGCACCTCCAAACGTCAACAATTTTAACGACGGAGTTGCGATTATTGATAAATTCCCAGGGTCGAGTACTGCGTAGGTTTCGGACTTTTCGGAATTTTTATGGTTATTGTTATTGTTGTTGTTATTATTATTATTTTTTTTCTTTGGAGGGGGATATTTCGGGTCTTTGGGCTTGTGTTTTTCGGATTTTTTTTTCTTTTTTTTTTTTCTTCTCAAATTTAACTTTGCTGGCGTTCTCGCGCGCGCACACACTCACGTATGGAGGTGGGGAGTACAGGGGGGACACCTCCGTCGTGCATTCACCTCCGTGTACCGCGTCGCCGACACGGTCCGACGAACTTGCCTTCGCACCACACACAAACCAATGCGCGCAATCCACTGGGAGAGAGAAAAAAAATAATAATATGAGTGCGAACTAGAGGGGGAAGAGAGAGATAACAAATACGTCGTCACCCAAACAATTTTAATTCAACGAATGCGTTTTTGGGGTGGAGGGGGAGAGGGTGAATATCTCGAGTTTCTATGGCAGAGCTCTCTTTATTATTATTTTTTTAAACACTTGTTCACTGATTTTCACTGTTGAGGGTCATCACTCGGTACTTGTTACAGCGGATTTTAGTGTTTTTTTTTTTTTTTTTTCAAGGCGATGGAAAAAATGCCACGAGCGCGCACGAGACACGAGGAACTGCACGCCCTAACCGCGGGGATACCGCATCGCTTTCTCGGGCTAACATGGAGATAGATCCATGAACGATAGTTTGGAGTTCTGCCGAGGAGATGAGGTTTGGCGCTGGTGGCACAGGGCTGACAACTTTTAGGCACTTTGCTTGACGACAAGGATTACGAGATCTTTACGGCATTTTTCAAGGGATTTTTTTGGGGTTCATTGCTTTTTTGCGGGCTTTCTTGGATTTATGGGGGTGGTGGGGGCGGTTTTATGGTGGGGTTGGAGGGATGTCGGTGATTGGGGGGTTTTACGTCGTCGGGGGTTTGCGGTGTAAATTCGATTATTCAATCCTCACAGTTTTGCCAACCATTTGGGTTTAAGGGGAGGGGAGCGCGGTTTTTTGAATTTATTTTTGGAATTTTTTTGGGGAATTATTCTCGTGTTTTGGCGCTTTTTTTGGAAGATTTTACATTTTTACAGGTGATTTTTAAAGGGATCAATAATTATTTAAAATTTTTCATGGGTTTTTTAATTTTATTGTATTAAAAAATCTGATCGTTAGGAATCAAAATATTTTAAACTAAAATAATAAAGCAATCGGTTTTTTTGGATTTAAAATATCGGGAAGATTCGGAGATCCGTACTTGTCAGAAATGAAAGATTTGAGTTTTGGATTAATATAATCTGATCTCTTAATTTTATTTGTTTCTCCAATTTTGTACATGTCATTAAGTTCTATGAGTGAAAATAGTATTTACTAGGTTCACAGTAACTCCTTGATTGGTTTTGGTGTCCTAACGAAGAGGAAAATTGCATGATCAACTGGTAAACACGAGTGTTTCAAGAAGAATCCCCAAGGCCGCAGCACTTGCTGGAACATCTATATACCGGAAAAGGGCAGCGTTTGAGTACCTACCGCAGTCAACGCTCGTCATGACCTTATTAACAAACAATCATCAATTATCAAAATGGAAAAAAAAATCGCAGACCGATATGGACATCTCAAGATTCCATAATCCGAACGGGATTTTCCAAAAACCAAAAAACAAAAATAAAACAATCCATTGCGCATCGACACGCAATACCGATCGAATGCATCGTAGCAAAGTGCAAACTTGAAATTAAAAAAAAAATACCATTCCACTAATGTCAGCTTCTACGAAAAACTTGTGACGTCAATAATGCGTCAAAGTTCTCAGCGATAGCATAAATTGTTTTCCGTTATCGTATGCACGTGGATAACAGAAACAGCAATTGAAGTTTTTCCATTTTCCAGCCACCGACGTAACGAAAAACCGAAAGATTAAAAGAAAAATTGTTTAACGACGAAGTTTCATAATTTACCAGTCGAAAAACTCAATGATATAAACACTGTCAATGCAAAGAAAATCCTGAGTAATTACCTTCACCTTAGAATAACTCTACGTCAGGTGAAAAATAATTAAAAACTCATAGTCACTTTTCATGAAAAACTCTCCACCGATGATTAACTCCACAAGAAAAAAATATTGAGTCTTCAAAAAAACTACTTAATCCCCTTGATATGATGCAGGAATCCGTCAGCGTCTGTCTTTGCGATGTACATTCTCAAGTGATGACCTCGTCCTCTAGAACTTTCCTCGAAATCCACTGCCACGTCCCCTGAAAGATCTCCCCCCCGTGGAGAACTTGCCCCTGGAACTCCTGAAGGGTTTTCCTCGTCCTCGCCAGCTGTTGTCCCTGGAGAATGACTCCTCGAGTATTTCGATTTCATCAGTCTCATCCATAACCGAAGGGCTGTCTCCAGGACTGCGATCATCCCTGAGGTCGTAATCATCCGGACCCTCCATACTCCTCTTGAATGGCGGAGATAGCCTCCTGTCCCTCTCCCTGGAGCTAAAGGCTCTGCTCGACTGATGGGGAAAATCCCTCGATCGTATGGGTGACAAATCAAAAGCCCTGGAGTCTCGACCCTCGTGGATGCGTTCTGGGCTGCGTGCCCTCGTCTCATGTTCCTGAATCGGTGATGTTCTATTCCACGATCTCGAATTGCTCAAACTCCATCGGAGATCTCCAGCGTCACGATTCGTGGGAACAAAATCGTAGTTATCACGAACATTCCAATCCAAACGATCCATTATTGGTCGTTTCTCGGGGACAGGGGATGGCTGCAGATCTCTGGGACATACTTGAGTACCAAACTCCATCGTATCGTTGTTTGTCTGCGTTCCTTTGTCCTCCACAACGTTTTCTGTCTGCGTGTACTTCTGGAACATGTCAGGCTTCGGTGGGAGTCGCTCCTTCTCCTCCTCTTCGTTGTCCCAGATTATCTTGCTCTTTGTTCTCTGGACCAGAAGGGAGTTGGACGTCATCTCTTTCTTGATCACTTTTGGCTCCTCCACTGCTGGATCGTAGAAGAATCTACCCGACATCTTCAGCCGGGGATCCTCTTCTGGTAAACTACGGAGGGCCATTTCACAGTTTCGTAGAATTTCCGGCTTGAATCCTGTGGTTTAAATTTATCAATCATTCACGGGTTTGGGGTCTTCAGACAATTCAGATTGTCATGGTTTCACTGAATTTTCACAAGCACTTATGTTGGGGTTATTATGAAAATCTCACCTGGATATAAAACTGGATATCCCGAATCTGAATATGAAATTTTGGAAAATTTTGTATTAGTTATTCTTTGCTGCCGGTTCCACGAAAGGTAATCACTCATCAATTGATATTTAATGAGATTAAATTTTTTTTTTCAAATTCATGGCGACAGTGAAAGCAATTTAACTTTCAAAAAAAAATCACAGAATAATTTTCTTCAGAGTGATTACCTATCGACTTAGATCAAGTATTGATCTAAATATTTAATAAAAAAAAATCGAACCTTTGGCCGAGACAGACGCTTCTAACAGACTGGACAAGCTGGTTTTTTCAAAGGGCTGAAAAGGTGAATGAATAAATTTTAAAGATCCCTCGAAAAAAAAATCCTTTACTTACTTATAATTGGTGAACTTTCGATCGTCACCAATTGAAAAACGTAATCAAAGAATGAAATATTACTTTGGATTTCGAGATAACTGGAGGTTCAGGTGTTTTCAATCTGTCAGCTCTGACGAGTCCACCGTTGCGAGAAGAGGCACCTCGTCTGTCCCTCTCACGATCGTAGTGTCCATCAGAAAATTCATTCCTCACTGGTGACGATGATCTCCTGGATGCAGATACCTGACTGTACCTAGATGATTCATTGGCTGGAGCAGGGACTGGCTGGGGCGATGGCACAGGCAGAAGTCCAAATCGATCTTGGGGTACAGGAGCTCCTTGATTATACATGACAGGTGGTGCATTGTACTCGTGAGGGAGTGAATGCATGGCCACTGGTTCAAAATTAATAGATGGAGGTGCAGGAGGTTCGAACCCCATGAATGCAGCTGGAGCTTGGGGAATAAGTCCCATGGAAACAACAGGATCCATCATCGGTAGATAATGATGATTGGGTGGTACTACTGGGTGGACAGGAGTTGGAAGTAGTCCTGGACGTCCAATGAACTGATCAACTGAAGAAGTCGTGGACATGAGTGCCTCATCCCTGAACTGCCTGGCTATTTCATTGATGAATGGCGAACGCTTTCTCCTCCGATCTGGGGATTTACTGTAGCTCCGACGGCGTGGAGAGCTTCGACGTCCTGGTGAACGAGTCAATCTGCGTTTACGATCTGGGCTACGACTCCTGTGACGATCACGCGATCTACTTCGTCGGAGGACTGTCCTTAGGTCACTGCGAAATTTATCTACTATTTCTTTTTTTCTCTTACATTAATTTACAATCATTGAACACTTACAATATTTGAATATTTCTATTTGTATAAAATATTTGACAAACTAGATATTTAAAAAATTAACAAATCCAGGAGAAAATGTGATTATTATTATCATCTTAGCTGGGATTTTATTCTGGATTTTTTTTTTGTCAATTCATGTAGCTTATTTTGGAAACAAGTCCTCACCGTCCTCCCTCCGCTCGTCGTTTGATTCTGTCACCACTGCCACCTCGTCTCTCCCGACGATCGATGGGGCTCTTGCGCTCCCAGCTGGGTCTTCTTCGACGCTCTGGACTTCTCCATCGATTGGGACTTCTTTCACGATGAACTGGTGGACTGCCTCTGTTTCTGGAACGACTCCTTCGTCGGGGTGGACTGTTTCTCGATTTATCTGGTGTCCTGCGACGCTCTCGGCTCCTCTTGGTTCCCCGATCCATCAGACGCTCCGTCTCTATCGCCTCCACCTCGGTACCTGGGGGCACAACAGTGTCAGAGTCCAAGAGATGTTTGATGGCCTTCTCCTTCTCAGCGAGGATTTTACTGTCAGTGTCCCGTTTTGTTCGCATCTTGTCTCGCTCGATGTCCTTCGAACTCTTGGAGGGATCACGTCTTGAGTCCTCGCGACGTCTGTCCTCTCTTCTTCCACGATCCAACCGATCCCTCGGTCCTGATTCTCGTCGACGTTCACGTCTACTTCGATCCCTATAAGCAGCTTTGTTATCACTCGTACATTGGTTCTCCATTTATCATTTTTGGAATTATCAAAATTCCAAAGAATAAATATCAATTACCGGTTGATTAATTGGGAAAATGGACTCAATATTTTTCGATAAAAATTTCAATTGTCTGGAAATTATGAATGCAAATACCAAGATTATACCGCAACTTCCATTTATTTCATTTTGTTGGGGTTCAGAGGAAACTACTGAGACATCATAAAATCAGTGTAATTCGAGTCTATGACTTCGAGCGGAATGAAAAATGCAAACGCGAGAAAAAAATCAAACCGAAACGTTTACACTGACATTTGCATAATCGTGCCACAAAAATTATCTCAACCCAAATCTAGTGGCACTTCCATTAATTAATCAAGCAGTTCTCTCTCACAATTCTAAAGAAGAAACAACATAAAATTCAATTGAATTGTCCTGCAATTGAATGACCCCGTCCTTAAATTAAATATATCCATGGATAACTTATTATTTTCCCTGAATTCTACCTAGAGTGTCTCCTGAGCCTGAGACTGCGATGACCTCCGCTATCTTCTGGATGTTCCTCGTCCCCCTCCCAGGTGTCCACGATGTTGAAGTCCTCGTCGTCGAGGAACTCCTGGAGCTCGTCGTCAGGAATATCTTTCAAGCCATCAATGGCACGTTGCACATCGTCATGGGTATCCCTCGAGTCTCTATCATCATTTCTATTCCTGTGTCCATCCTTAATAATGTCTCTGCTCATTTCAGAAGATTGATTATTCTTCAACTAGCGTTCTAATTTATAGCGTACTTTATTCTTTAATCTGGTGCGCATTTAGTGGATGAGTGACATGAGAGGATAATTCATCCGATGATTCTTCGTAATCAATTGTGAATTAGATCTTTTGAGGTTAGATATTTGATTACTTGGTTGATGTGAGGCTCTGCGAGTGGGAAATGAGAAAATTGTTGGACTGATTGATTCCAGGAATCATTGGGCGAGGATTTCACTTTTATTTGGATCTCAGGAGTCAGATTGGATTATTAATTATCCAAACAATTTGCGAATGCACTTGTGAATTCCTGTCGATTGTTTTCCGGAAACTAGCGCCAACCGTCTGCCAATACTCGACAACTTCAGGGACATTTTTAAGAAATCAGTTTTTGGAAAAGTGAAATTGAAAAGAAATGCGCACTCAGAAAAATTATTACTTTTCCCAAGAAAAATTACTAACTGTAATAAATTCATGTGGTTCATTTGGCAGATGTCAATTTATTTATATCCAATCAGTAAACGATAGATTTTTTTTTGAATCTCGGGGGATGCAAGGGAGTTCCCTCGAAAATTGAATGTTTTTATGAAAAGATGTGATCAAAATGAAAAACAATTCGTTCCCCAATTTTCGTTTTTCAACATCAATCACTCGATAAATATTACTCTGGCAATTAATAAATATCCCTGTAATATTAATATAAATTTAACTAACGCTTTACAAAATCGAATTTTGAATGCTTATCGATTTTCGCGAGATGAAATCCGTTGGAAATTCTGTCATGGATTTTATTGCGTCACATTACTAATACAAATTCATAAAGATATAAAAAATAATACAATAATCGATAGTCATTGTCAAGTTACAGGTATGAAAGATGAGAGTCTCAACCCCCGATGACGATAATTCGGTTATGCTGTGTCATGATCGGCGGGACATGACATCTCCTTGGAGCCAGGATTTTCCCAGTTCTCCATCTTCTTTATTTGTTCAGGTGTGCACTTGGTGTTTGGATCCCTTTCTGCACATTTGGGGTAGCATATCGGTACACAAGATCCGTCGGTTTCACCAGGTATGCCGTCTCGGACAAATCCCGGACAGCAGTTGCAATTTATTTTGAAGAGCCAGGTCTAGAATAAGATAAAAGATATGTTGACTTTTCAGGAGAAGCTATCATAATCCAGTGCACTCACCCATCCTGTTCTCTCCCTTGGATTAGAGCAATAGGGATCATTCCCCATTTTCCAATTCAGTTCTTCATAACCACCGCAAGCTGCAAGTCAATATTTCCAGCAATATTTATTTATTAAATGATTTTTTTATTGATTCTCTTTGACGATTAAACAGAACATTCTGTCTGATCAAACCCGAATAACAGAAATTATTTATTGAACACCAAGCGACTTTCTAAATTAATCCGTCACTACATTTTTATTCGCGAAATTTATCCATTTAATTGCTACACAGTAAAATAACTGGGAAATATTCAATAATTTCATATACTTGAAGTGGTTTAAATTTTCCTTGGAATTTGGATTTAAATTTGAATTGGAAGTTGAATTAATTTTTGTTATCCCGAATTATTGATTTTTTGTTACAATGGTCTGTTGAATTTTTATATAAATAAAATAACAGATAGAAAAAAATTATTTGGGACTCATCTCGGAGGTGGACGCTTAACAATTCACCGGGCTTAATAATTATTGTTATTTATTATTTGCAGAAGGGAGAGGTTGAAGAGTTTTCAAAAACTTTCTAATAGTCGACTAACCCTGACCGGATGGAATAATCACGGAGACGATGAGCGAGAAAGCAGCGATGAGGATTAGACGAGCCATTGTCGAAAAATGATCTCGACACCGGGTGATTTGCCTATTTAAGGAGCTTGATGAACGTTTTGGTGGGGCAAACGGGCGGGAAAATTGTCTATGTTATAGCCTAGAGCGAGTTCATTGCCCACTGTACAGAGCAAACAAATTCGGAATTGCCATTTCACATCAGACGAACAGCGTAACAACAAATTACGTCTTTAAAATAAAAATCCAATGCCATAAGCCCTTAATTAATAATCGACTTGCCACGATTTGACTCAATTCAATTTTCACAACAATGAAAATGCGGGGAAATTGAGAAATCAATAAATTCTGAATTTCTCTTGCTATCGGCTGATAAATTATCGTTCTCAGCTCTCGTATTTATTAAATAAGAATCGTATTTTTATATTCCTCTTTAATTTTTTTAGTAAATACTGTTGTCTGTGGGTGGGTAATTTGGCGGAAAACATTTTTCTTCTTGAAAAAAAAAAGATCCAATCCCATAAGCCCCTAATTAATAATCGACTTGCCACGATTTGACTCAATTCAATTTTCACAACAATGAAAATGCGGGGAAATTGAGAAATCAATAAATTCTGAATTTCTCTTGCTATCGGCTGATAAATTATCGTGCTCAGCTCTCGTATTTATTAAATAAGAATGGTATTTTTATATTCCTCTTTAATTTTTTTAGTAAATACTGTTGTCTGTGGGTAGGTAATTTAGCGGAAAACATTTTTCTTCTTGAAAAGACTCGGAAAAATCAGGATGATAGCAGAATTGTTGTTAATCATGCATTACACATGTAATCGCTTACACTAATTATTCTCGCTTCCTCAATATAAATGCGGCTGCATACGTGCCATACTTTAGTTGAAACTTGTGATTACGAACACACGACATGTCACGAATTGCTTTTCTTTTCCTCATTACTATCATGACAATCACTGTCATTGGTAAAAAAATTGTTCACATTATTTTTTCAGATTTGACGTTTCAACATTTCACGATTAACATTTCAATAACAAAATTTTTAAGAACATTTAAGATAGAAATTCAATCTTTCCTATTGATTTCTTCTGGTTAAAATGTAATTAAAGCTATTATATTATCGTTTTTTAAGATGTAAATTGTCAGGATGGGGAGAGGAATTGTGGACCGAATGAAACCTGGGATTCATGTGGTTCAGGCTGTGGCGAAGCTACTTGTCATAATCCTCGTCGAACCAAAGGAGTTATGTGTCCTGCAGTAAGAAAATATCTTCTCGTTAAATTTGAATTTCTCAAAATGTTGATAATGATTATTCCAGGTGTGTGTCCCCGGATGTTTCTGCAATCGAGGATGGATCAGAAGTGAACCTAGGGGTTCATGCGTTCGAAGCTGCTTCCCTTGACTTTAATTACTGACGTTATAAAAAACGGCGATTAATTCAGTTCGAAAACGCAGTCGACGATTGACACTCTATATTTATATTTTTCTTTCTCGTTAAATCTCTCCTAGGATCTCCGATCATTAGCGATGATTATTACCAATGATAGAAGATAATTCAAATGAAAACTAACAATTAAAATTGGAAATAGAATATATAATAAACATTTGCAAGTGGAATTCCGGATAATTCAAATTTATTCAATAGTTTATTTAATATTGATTATGTCAATCATTCATATTATTTTTATTATGATCCAATTATTTTCATATTATTTATTAATGATTCCGCTATTGTTAGCTCGTCGTCTGGCGTTTTTATATAGATTTATTATTCCTCATATCTGTGATCCTATATTTTACCTCACCAGGAAAATAATTCCAGTGTCAGGCAGAAATTCCCCGCAATCTCCGAGACAATTTCTTCAAGAGTATTTCCTCGTTACATCGCAAATAGAATTCATACGATAACAAGAGTATTTCCCATAATTCATTCCATCTCGTATCGCTGGGAATAATATAAACGGAGAAATATCGGGCTAGATTTCAGTACAACATTTTCATTACGTTGGAGACAGAATGTCACGAGCTGGTGTTGCCTTCCTTGTTGTGACGGCTATTTTCGTTATCGGTAAATATTTACTTTTCTTCATGACTTTATATTAATTTCTCACTTGTAATACCACGAGAGTTTCAAAATTATCGATTATTTCGGGATAGGTTTGCAGAGAAACTTGAGGGAAATACTCGATTAATTTTGAACCTCGAGCGGTATTTATCGGATTATTTCTTCAATTCAAATTTCGGTTAACAGAATTGGCCCATGAGATTTGTTTTCTCTCATTAAAAAATTAATAATTAATGCTTGCAGGTGGAAATTGTCAATTGTGTGGCCCAGATGAAACTTTTGTAGACTGTCCTAGTGGCTGTGGCGAACAAACATGTCAAAGTCGTCCTCTACCCCCTGATGCAAATTGTCCTGCAGTAAGAACTCATTAATTCCCCACAGCAATCGAAAATCCTTAGAAAAATTGACATTGGAAAATGTTTTCCAGTGTCGATGCTAAAATTATCCTGAGGAATTTCTCTCTGTGTGAATCATTTTATTATTTTTCAAAATTAAAATTGAAGAATGATTAATGTTTTCAGGTGTGCAGGCCCAGCTGTATTTGTAATTATGGATTAACTAGACGAGAGCACGGCGGGCCATGCGTTCAACAATGCTAAGGCAATCACTCTTTGAAATTACAATTAATAATTAATAATAATGGGTTATAAATTCAGATCTATTCCTTTTTTTGCCTCCAGAATTTATTTCGAAAGCTACAACACTATCTCAATTAATATAATAAATAAATAATCACAAATAAAATTTGATGGATTTATTTTTAAAAATATTCGATTACAGGTTGAAGTTTTTTGAATTTAAATCTGTGCATTAATTTCGGATTTTCGGGTATGATTTCCCAATTCGTAGAACTCCGTATTGATTAATTCTCCTGTAATTCCATAGACTCATGTTGTTAAAATGATAATTAGATCATTGTAATCATACATTTACGGGCACTTGGGGATGCAACAATCATCCCCACCCTTTTCGACAATAGAGTGATTACAGGGGCAATAGAGCGTTTGTCAATGGAGTCGTTACACATATGAGTATTAATATTGGCCCAGCCTTGGATGATTTTTCCACTCATTACGTATCAATTACGATAGATTTATTACATCAAATATCTGGAGAACATTCAGTGCTCCGAATTTATGAGCGTCTCGTGACGGCAATACGGTGTCATTATTCCGCATGGTGCGACGATATTGAGAATTCAATGGATCTTTTATTTCATAATTGGATCTTGTAATAGAAATGGTCATGCTGGGGTCATGTGATCATCTCTAATCCATGTCATGGGGTAGGTCAATGATGCTCTCGATTTTTTCTCTCATCACATCAGTCCACGCACTTCACGTGTGAATATCTCCGTCGAAGAGCCACAGACTTTATCATTTTAATTTACATAGAATTTTATGTAAGTACAAATTATGTTTTTTATATTAAATATTCATGTCCTATTATTAATGCACAAGTTAAAAAAAAATTACAACTAAAAGTCAATTCTTTGGAGAACCATTTTTAGAGAATAACTCGGAATCAAAGCAAGATAGCGATATTTTGATGGGTATATTTTTTATAGAGAAAAATAAATGCTATAAAAAAGATCTGTATGAAAATATCGCTATCTCTCTTTCATTCCGAGATATTCACGGAAAACCACAAAAAAAACCTGTCACTTCAGAATTTCGAAATCTAAATAAAATGAAATAAAATTTGGATCTAATTAATTTTCTCTTCGTCTCGATCTCTCATTGAGTTATTGATAAAGTCCTCAATATTCCTCAATTAATTATAACTTAAAAATAACAAATTTGCCAAATTATTAATTATAACTTAAAAAAATAAAATAAAAATGTGAAATTCTCGGTTTCACGTACATTCTTGTGACTCGCAATTAAAAATAGGTGTCATCGCACTTTTATGGGGTTACAGTATATAAGCGACGACATCCTGTTGGCACCCTATATAATCTATGTATAAAGCCAATGAATCGCCCGCAAAAATTGTTGCACTGATTTTTTTTTTCATTAAAGGGACTAGTGGATCCGTTGGAGGCTCATTGAAAATCCGATATGTCGTGCATTCGTGTGTTCCTGTTCCTCACTCTAGCTGTGGTATCAATCGTTGGTGAGATGTTCAAGATAAAAAATAATAATAATTAATTAATTTCCAAATGAAATTCCTACCAGATTAATTGATCATCGCATTAAATTATGTTCTACTGTTAGAAAATTCCTGAAATTTCAATCAGATCATTAGAATTTTTTATTATAACTTCAAATTCATGTTGGATACATCATAAAAATGTGGTGTACTTTCCATGGAATTTTTATTTCAGTGCAGCTCGAGATTTCGTATTGATTGGTATTTCCACCATTTTTTTAATAATGGGGAATGTATTAATTATGTATTTTTCGTAGAGATAAATGGTCTGTGCGGCCGCAATGAGAGATTCCAGAAATGCGGGAGTTCCTGTCCTCCGAGTTGTGCAAATCCTGATCCAGGACCCTGCGCTCAAGTATGAAAAATCATCGAATATAATTGCGCCATTAAAAAATTAATTCTATGAATTCCAAAAAAAAAAACCCAACGATAAATCGATAAATCAAAATTGATTCCGCATTGATTACAAAAATTAAAAATCAATCACTATCGGGATTATTAATAAAATCAATATATTCTATTAAATAATATTTTTCCAGTATATTTTTTCCAGTACATAACAAATTATTTAAAAAATTTTTAATAATCACAATTGAGTGGAAATTCTCATTAGTAATTCGTTTAATTTTAGTACAAATTCAATTGTTTAATTAATTAGTATAATTAGATGAGATTGTTAATTTAAATTCAATAACGTGACAATAAAAATTGAAAGAATTTGTAATAGTCCGTGCCTTTTCCTTTTGCGTATGAAATTACGTGAAGATTTTATTTAAAATTGTATTATTATCATTTTTATTATTGTGAATTAATGGCTGATTAATTTTTAGATCTGCAAGAGGGGATGCTTCTGCAGATCTGGATTCATGAGGAACTCGAAGGGGCAGTGTACCAATACCTGTCCATAATTAAAAAACAATAAATTTTTATTATCATAACAATAATCCCTATTGTAATAAGCGCAGGAATAACTAAATCCTCTGCATTTTATACTTTCATTACTGACTTTCCAGAAAATATAAACGCATGTCTATTATCCAATCAATAACAATTTAAATAAAATAATAAATTTTCTTGTGTGAACCTGTGTCTCTGCATTTTTTGAAAATTTCTTGAAGTAAAATCCAGATTTTTTCCTTCAGAATTTTTTCTGAAGAGAAGAATTTCAACAATATTTATCGAAATATCTTACGATTAATTATGGCAATTGGAACAATCAACATGTCATCTCCACCAGTGGAATATTATGCTGAAAAAATTATTTTCGTTGCTGAACACCTGTCAAAATGCGAGTGAAGTTTTTATTTTTGGAATTAACGAGATGAGTGTATTGAGAGAATAAACAAATTCTTGTTTTAAGTGGATCATTCACTCTGTGTTCGGACCAGGCGATCCTCTATAAAATCCCATGATTCTCCAATGATCAGGGCCAGTTGTTATTTTATAACAAATCAACAATCTAATATGGCACGACTGGGACTGTTCCTCATCTTGACTCTCGCCCTTATCTGTATCGGCGGTAAATTAATTTCTTTTTGTAAAACTCTACAAAATTTTTTCTAAACTCTCTGGAGCTGCTGGTAAAATCCCAGTAAAAAATTTCCGTTTCAGTAAACAAAAAATCCCTGAATATTAATCAATGCGTAATTTTATCCTTCAAATCGAATTAAGGAATTCAATTAATCAAAAAGAGTGTAAATTAAGTGATTATTCTAGTAGAGTGTGCCAACTCCATTTTTCCGACGTCAGTTTTTCGCCGATATCTCGGAATCGAAGAAACATAGCGATTTTCACATAATAATATTTCTTATAGAAAAAAATAAGAGCTACAATTAAGTTATTCATGAAAATATCGTTATCTCTCTTCAATTCCGAGATATCGGCTATAAACTGACCTCGAAAAAAATGCACTCATCCAAATTTACCACTTCGCAACCAAAATAATGGATTTACATTTAGAAATTATCAGAAAAAAATTATAGTTCGTTGAAAAATATGCAAAGTCGGTAGGAAATATTGATAATGTCTGGATAAATAATTTTTTTAGAGATAAATGCTCAGCGTTGTCCTCCCAATGAGGTCTGGAGGGCATGTCGTCCGCCTTGTAATACCTGCATGAATCGCAATCCAAATCGGTGTCCGGTAAGAATTTATCCCATCCACAATAAAAATAAAATTTAATTGCATTTCTTGATTTCAGGCGTGCATCAGAGGCTGCTTTTGTAGACGTGGATTTTTGCGAGATCGAGTGGGAAAGTGCGTGCAGAGATGTTGGAGAATGTTATAACGCGATTAGTTCTGTCATCCCCAAACTTTCTTGCCGAATCCTTAATGAAATCAGAGTAAATACATAAACATTATGTATCAGACCGTGATGTTACTGGAAATAAAACGATTAGCCGAAATGTTGAATTATTTTTTTGCGAGATCGTTGTATTGTGTAAACATACATAAATGGATTCTTCTTTCCTCTGAGTATAAAAGGCTGCAACTTCGTCATAATCAGCAGTACCGATTTGGAATTATCCAGAAATACGACATGACACGATTTAATTTGCTCTTTGCTCTTTTCCTCGCCGTCTTTTGCGTCGTTGGTAAGAAAAAATTTGCTCACATAAGAAATTTATTATAATAATGCAATATAGTTAAATATTTGATATAAAAAAAGATTTGTACCGATTACATTCGGTTGAACCAAAAAATTAACGAGTTATTACCGATATCTTCGGGTTTTTCATGGTTTTTGTAAAATTCTGGATGAGTTTGACGTAGAAAAATTTTTTAATTATATATTATTGTGATTATGTTATAATATTTTTGGTCTGCGATATGATATATTTACATTTCTCTGGAGTATTCCATTTTTTATTTTATTTTTAGAGATAAACGCTCAACGTCGTTGTCCTCCTAACGAGGAGTGGCGAAGTTGTGGCACCGCCTGTCCACCAACTTGTAGGAATCCTTATGCCAGGGCGTGTACCATGGTTCGAATTTTTCCTCAATATACTGACAATAAACGGAGAAAAATTACCAGGAAAACTTGCTCTGACGTTCCATAACGAGCGCCGGGAATTTTTCCTCGTGTATTCCCCCGAAAGGATGATAATTAATAAAAATAATGATTTCAGCAATGTGTCGCGGGCTGTTTCTGCAAACCTGGTTGGTTGAGGTCCAGACAAGGAAATTGCGTCAAAAAATGCCGGACAAGAGACTGAGGAATTAAAACCATTGATTCAATTATTAATTCATCGAAAAATCGACCAGGCACAGGGAAATTTTATTTACTTCCAGGAAATATTGTGTAATTCTAATATTTAATAAAAATATTCAACTCCACATTTGCTTCTTCAAATCATTCAACCTGTCACTCTGATTTCAATATAATTCCTTTTTTTACGCTAAGAAAAATTAAATCCTTCTGCCAGATAATTTTAATTGCATTGCGTAAAAGGGAAAAGAAAAGAACCGGCGCTTTTCCCTTTGAAGAGATTATCCAGATATCAATCGTTTATTTGTCGTCATGACAGTATTTAGAAAGTGATGATAACGAATTTGCGTAATGAGGAGCATCAGAGGTACCTTGGAGAGAAATCTGGAGATGATTTTGGATTTTTTTAACATCTCCTAACGCAGACGCCGCGGTTATTCCTGATCAAGCCAGATCTGCAGAAACAGCCAGCTCTACAAGCCTGGAATCGTTCAATTAATGATTAATTATTGTTTTTAATCCTCAAGTAGTGCTTTCATACCGCAATGCAGACTGGAGATGGTCTTCTGCAAGTCGGTGGACAACGACTGCCGCAAGAACGCCAGATTTCATTACGAGGACATCGTCGTTGGCTCATCGGCTGGGCATTCATCCCTGTGTAAACAAAAAAAGTATCTAATATATACCACAACAATAATCCTTAATTAATAACAAATTCCTAACAAACATCTCAACAAATTTCTGTAGCAAATCGGTAAAAGAAGCGAATCGACTCATTTCTACGATGAGTTTTCCGCAAATATCTCCCAAATGAAGAGAGATAATTAAATTTTTGGTAAAATCATTTTTATAGAGTTCATTGAGAGCTGTCAATGAAGTTCTGACGAAAATTTCGCTATCTCGATTAGTTTCGGGGATATTTAATCATTAATTCAGATTCACCTGCGATTAAGACCATCGCAAGGGCGAAAATTAATAATAAACCAACGCGTGTCATAATTAGTGGAATATCAGTACTGATACAACTGATGACTGATCTGTCGTTTTTATTTGCAGCTTCAGATCTCCTCGAGACTGTTTTTGCTATTTAAAAAATCTCCATTTAATTTTGACAAGTGCGTCAGGACTGTGAACCCGCTCCGGAATATTCCACGTGATGATAAGATTCAAATAAATTACGATATGGTCATTACATTATTGTAATGAAAATATTGTAGTTTCTCCAAATCACGGAACATCTAAATTTTCTTATCAATCAAACAATATGGTAATAATAAGTTCAGAGTCCGCACTTGTCATAATGAAATATTGAAGATATTTCGGGATGCAGGAAACAAATTCTGAAATGAAGACATCTCTGGGACTATAAAAGCCTGGGGATTTGAACTCATCAGCATCAATCCACATTCTCCATCATATTCAGCAACCAAAATGCGCGGCTTTAGTTTGTTCTTCATCCTCGCTCTTGCGATGGTCTTCATCGGTGGTAAGTTTCAACCGTTATCTAATTAACAAGAGATAATTTAACGTTATAAAAAATACATTATCCAGATAAATTGAATGTTTGATCATTTGTCTTTGAGAGAATGATATTGAATTCAATATTTTAAACAGAAATAAGCGCTCAACGTTGTCGTCGCAATGAGGTCTGGAGGGATTGTGGAAGTCGTTGTCCACCCACTTGTAGAAGACCTAGACCTGTCTGCGCTGCGGTACGAGAGTTCCTCACAAATAACTTGATGATCATTAATTGATTGGTAATGAGTAATTGCATGATTTCAGGTTTGCCGAGCTGGTTGCTTCTGCCGACCTGGATTGATAAGGAACAACCGAGGGGTTTGTGTCAGGAGATGTTAAAATTCTTCTCAACAAGTCCATGAAGTCCTCTTTAAAATTCCCTTGTTATTCATTTAATTTTTGAAATAAACATATTACTGCAGAAACGAGAAATACTTTCTTGTGATTACGTATTCCTCTAGTGAAAATAAAGATTATTTGTACTGTAATAAAAACGGTATAAATTCAAAACAAAGTCTTGGAATGATGTGTTATTCTGATAATATAATATTATATCAGAATAGAAAAAATATTGTTTTCGTGATTAAAGATGTGAGTGCAGCGGGACTACGCGAGATTTTTTCCCGTTATAAAGGGGGTGTGTTCCTCATTACAAGCATCAATACGAATTTGAAATCATATTGAAAATCCAACATGCGGGGTTTTTCCTTATTCTTCATCCTGGCTCTCGCGGTAGTCTGCATCAGCGGTGAGTCCCAAAAATCATAAACCGAAAGAATTAAAATTATTGAAAAAATTCAAGTACTAATTAATAAAGACAAATTACCCTGATAGATAGTAATCGCATAATTCAATGATCGTCTATAATTTTCCGGGAATCAGAATAAAAAATGGATAATTTTGAGAAGTAATTGGATTTCTTCGAGCAAGAGAGAAAGTTATTCATCCATTACTCTAGAATAAAATAACAATTTATTAATTCTTTAAATAAATGTCTCTCTGTGCAGGATAGAATGTTTCAGAGACAATTATTTATTCGAATGAATAAAATTAGATATAAACTGATAACGAATTATTGTTGTTGTATTTTTGCAGAGATAAACGCGCAACGTCGTTGTCGTCGAAATGAGGTCTGGACGAGCTGTGGCACTGCTTGCCCGCCAACTTGTAGAAATCCTCGTCCACGAATCTGCACAAGGGTATGAAACCCCCGACAAGATTCACTAAGATTCTCCTAGCAATCGCCCAAATTAATCATTATTAATTGTTCCAGCAATGCGTTCGGGGTTGTTTCTGCCGACGGGGATGGTTCAGGAACAACCGTGGCATCTGTGTCGCAAGATGTTAAGAATAACTTCTGAAATTCGAACCAACTTGTCCCACAGTTCTGCTACTATACCTCAGCATTGATACCTTGATGATCTTCCCTATTTTAAACCCAGGAATTACAACAGAGCACAAGAAATAATTGCCTGAATACCTCAAGCATTAATAAACAATCATAAATAAATAGTTCTTGTTCTCCACAACTCCAAGATTTTTAATATAAAACTCTACTGAAACTACCGATCACAATTTTCAATGTGGTAAATAATAAAATACATTGAATAACTTATTTACAAGTAAACTAACTGCTCTACCCATGTGCTCGTGTCTCCTGCTCTTTCTTGAGGAATTTCTCCAGCTCCTTCTGTTGATTTAAAATATACAAATTCTCTGCCTTTCGAGAGGCATTCTGCGCTCGTCGTTCAACGTCTCTCAGAACTCCCGCCCGAAGTTCTTCACTGAAATCAATAAATAAATATAAAAAATTGGAGCAGCCTAACCCCCAAAATCGAGATTATTCCACGTAATTACCGTTCTATCGATTGCAAACAGTGAACGTAATAAACAGTTCCTCCACTGACTGCGATAGAACTGTATAAAAATAATCTCGACGTCCACGACATTTTATTCCTATTATTCCCTATTTTTCAAATCTCCAGGAATTCTTCATGTCGCCATTGTTTTCATCACGTGACTCTTCACTGCAAGTTGCATCCCGCAAACAATCGATTTTCGTTGCATTCGATATTTTTGCATTCAAAGGGAACAAAAGGAAAATTCTCTTGAATTATTGCAATAACAGACGATTCACACTAAGTGGAAAATACAAATTTTCATTATTTCTGAGATGATGAATAATTCGAAAGCTGATGGATTCAAAACATGAGATAAAAACGATTAAAAAATAAAAATACTTGAATTATTCAAGTGAAAAACCAAGACCGTTCGAGTTTCTTCCGAGTTCAGCCAACTTCAGAGGTATTATTGATATTAAAATCTTCACAAAACGTGATAATTAATAATTAAAAGTACTTCAATAACAAGTGTTTATGAATTCAAAGGTTATTATTTTATCCCAAAGCCCGACTTATTCATTAAAATCACAATCTCCTTGACTATCCACCCCATTAATGAATTAATTCGGAATATTGCGTAGTGGGTAACCTTTCAACAAACCCAAGAAGCAATATTAATGAAAAATTACTGAACTTCGCAATTATAATCAATAGTTTATCCTGAGTTGCCTCAGGGTTAACACAAATTATGGCAGAAGCTCACTATTTTTTAAATTTCTTTCCAGAAAAAGCAGCTAGAGGATGTGAGAATCAGCAAACGACTCTCCTATTTACTTCGTCATGGTGCTGTACAAGAAGGTCTCCACATAAATCCAGATGGTTTTGTTCCTCTGCGAGAGCTCCTGGAGAAATTGCCTGAGTGTACGATCGTCGACATCAGACGCATCGTCTCCACGAATTCCAAGGGTCGATTTACTCTAGTCGAGAGTGAAGACGAAGGTCCTCAGATAAAAGCAAATCAGGGTCACTCTCTGGCAAGTGTGAATCGGCTGTCCTTGAAAGAAGTCAGCAATCCAAATTTCGAGATAATCCATGGGACTTCGTTTGCCAATTGGGCCCAGATTAAATGTAGGGGACTGTCTCGAATGAGAAGAAATCACATTCACTTCTCGAAAGGTTTGGACTCCGCTCGTGGCTTGAGAAGCTCCGCTCAAGTTTTTATTTTCATAGATTACTCCAAATCATCAGCAGATGGAATAAAATTCTTCGAGTCTGAGAATGGAGTGGTGCTCAGCCCAGGGGATGCCTGCGGTGTGATAGAGACTCGATATTTCTCGAGAGTATCAACACGGGACAATAAAATATTATCAATTGATAATTAATCGATGAAGTGTGCACTTGAGTCAATAAAAAATAATTAAGAATGTCGAAACGCTGTGAGGTATGTGCTCAGGACTTTCTCGACGAGTACGCCTTCCACGGTCATCTCCTGGGGAAGAAGCACTCGAAAAATGTCGAGTTTAAGAAGCAAAACCTTCAGAAAGAGCAGAATTCCGTCTTCATCTCACCAGTGCCTCCCGGTCTCGACCCCCAATTGGTCTTCGGGTTCTTCTCAAATTTCGGCCCCATTCAGCATTACATATTCAATCCCAGGTATCTGATCATAGAATATAAAGAGAAATCTCCAGTGGAGTACCTCTTAAACAATCCGATTTACCTAAACAAGTGGAAATTGAGGATTCGTCGAAGAAAAATGGAAAATTACGCGGAGAAATTTCAACACAGGAGGACGAAACAATCACCACAGATGCAAAAAAATGAGAACCCCGAGACACAGCAGGAGCTGAGAATATCTCTGGAGTCAGAGCGGAGTCTGGAGGAGCAGGTGAATAAATTTCTGCTGTCAGTTCAGATAGACGAAGAAGAGATGCAGCAGCTGGTAGCAATGGTCTGCTCATCGTTGGATAGCGCCATGAAGCAACTGTTCCCCAGGTGTCGAGCTATTCCTTTTGGCTCGTCAGTGACAGGACTAAGCCTGACAGGGAGTGATCTCGATGTTTTTCTCGATATCAGAGAGCCCATTATCGAGGACGACGATTCAACGCTTGGGTGCCCATCAGGCTGGACGCCCAAGACAATTTTCAAGGGTGTGAAGAGAGTATTCTACAAAAATCGGCCAGTCTTCACCCAGATAGTTCCTATTCCAATGGCCAAAATTCCTGTTATCAAGTTCCATCATACTGCCAGTGACATGGACTGCGATATTTCCTTCAAGGATGGACTAGGTGTCCACAATAGTCAGTTAATTAAATATTTGCTTACCCTCGACTCTAGGATAAAGCCCTTGGTAGTAATTCTCAAGTATTGGGCAAGAAATCTCGACATATCAGGCAGTGGAAAGATCAATAATTATTCTCTCGTTATGCTAATTGTTTTCTATCTACAACAGGCGAGTGTCAATCTCCTACCCTCCATCAAAGAACTGCAGAAGGTCCACCAGAGGGTCTACATCAGGGAATGGCAGGTGAACTTTAATACAGACTATCCCTCTACCTCAGAGAACAACTCCAGTTCGCTCCTGGAGCTGCTCCAGGGCTTCTTCAAGTTTTATTCGGACTTTGATTTCTCCACAAGGATTATTCGGCCTCTGGAAGGCAGCAGTGTCCTCAGGAAAGAATTTAAGAAGGAGATGGAGGCGTGCCACAGATCGAGGTATGTCGAGAGCTTGCACCTGGACAGACATGCCTGTCTTCAGGATCCTATTCAGCTGGATTATAATATCACATCGGGATGGGCAACCAAGGAGATCCAGGGGTTGAAGTTGTCGTGTCTGCTGGCATTGGAGGTGTTTGAGAGTATGAGGGAGACCCCTCTGGGAATTATTCCTAGGCTATTGGAACCTGAGATGAACGTTAAGCTCAAGGCGAGCATTAAAGCCAAGACGAAAAAGAAAATGAATCCGACGGTGAGCTTTACCATTCTTGCTGGAAAGTTCAAGACGTTCGGTCTCCCTGAGGACTTTGAGGAGAATAACGTGGAGGACAGCCAGAAGTTCATCGAGAAGAACTGGTTCTGCACGGTTTATAGGCTTCTGGAGGTGATTCTTGAGAAAATATTTATGCTCCAGATTCAGGTGATCTATGACAAGGTCGGGGTTAAGCAGATGAAGCTTCAGGAGGAGGACGATGTTCACACCAATAATGAGGACAATATCCTGCTGAATTGCTCCGGGAAGTATCCTCTGCATAAGCGTAGGAAGGGCAAGGGGCAAATTGTTCAGCCCAATGTCAGTCCCATCCAGAGGGAAATTATAACCTCAGAGAAAATTGTCAAAGAAATCGACAGCAAAACAGCAGATACACCTATCAAGTTTCAGTGTCTTGTTGTCAAAAAGAGCAATCCACTTCATGCACTTGTTGAACTCACTGATCAAGAATTGACGAATAACTGTTTTATGGAACTTGCTGTTTACATGCAGTGCAAGGTGCACAGCTGGATCGAGAAAGAATTCATGCATATGGTGCAGTTTAAAAAAAATGTTTGGACATCGAATGAGTCCTGAGGGGATGGATTTTTTTGTCCCACGACAAGTTCTTTTCAATTGCGACGAGGAACAGGATGACAGGTCTGCTTTCTAGTGGATTTTTCAATTAATATCTTCAAATCTAATGGAGATGGCGATATTTTCGGCGGGACCTTTTGTGTACAGCAAAGTGAAAACTGCAAAAAATGGGTTGGAAAAAATTTCGATGTCTCTAGTAGATTCACAGATATTTTCAGAAACTAATGAATAAACAAAAAGTCCTGAATTTTTCAAGGACTTAATATAAACAACGATGCAGAATAATTTATGAATCGTTCAATCTTCTGATGGCAGGAGAGATTTTTTTGGAGAAAAATTATTATGGATTTTTATTTTTTTTTCATAAACTCTGATCGTCTAGATTATTGTGAGATCATCTAGAGGCTATTTCTAATTGAATTTTCATGGCTTGACTAAAACTAGATGTTTTACAGGTCATTTTCATTTGATTATTAGATTTGAAGAACATTATTTCACATGTTGCTTTTTTATTTTGAAGTCTGTGAAATAAGTGCACTATCTCGGCGAAGTCGGGATATAAATTAGTGTAAGTTTTTCGGATTTTCGAGGATTTTGAGTAACACGCTTGCATAATTTTTAAATAACATACAGAATGAACTTCTCACTGGTTCATGGAGAGAAATTATAATTTTACGATGTACATTTTCATTTTTTGAAAGTATTAATGTTTATTGCGAATAAAGAGATATCAAAACTGAATGCAGTTCAGTTTTTTATTCCACATTGTTTAATTGATTTAATTAAAAGTTGAGTTTTCGAGGAAAAATATTCGTACACTAATGTTTTTCCTCAAACCTTTCCGGTTTGAAAATATACAGGCATTAAATTAAATCAAAGATGTCACCAGGTATTCCGATCTAATGTTAACCATGAATACATGACTTGCGTGTAGTCGCAGAATGGCATAGTGACATTTATCAAAAACTGCTGCCATCTCTTCTCGTAACTATCCAAAGCTGCGGCTTTTTCATTTTCCGAGAGAGTGCTGTAGATAATAGAGTTCCTAGCAATTTTTTTCAATGAATAAAGATTTGCATTCATGGGCAATATAGACATTAAAGTCATATAGAAATCATCACTAAGGCCTTTAGCGCCCCATAGTCCTGGATCATCATTAGAGATGACTACTGGGATGTCTAGAGCAAACAAGATAGCTGCCTGATGATTACGGAGATTGCTTACTAGTCCTAGTACTTGATTCGAAATCGGACAGACTTCAACAGGAATGTTCTTCTCTTTGAGTTCCCTCAAAGTATCCGGCTCCTTCGTAATTGAGTAAGCATGACCGATTCTTTTTGCGTTATGCCTGATAGCTATTTGTAAATTCGTCGGTTGCAACAGAAAGTTCTGTGTTTCTCCAGCATGGAAGAAAAAATCTGTCCAGTTTGAAACTTCCAACAATAGTGAAGAATGATCCTTCAACTTATATCCTGCATCTTCATGGCCCACCAAATCTGCACCAGCGATGAATCCGGGAAACATTTTTTTCAATTCTACAGTTTCATGGAGAAAGCTTCTCAATTCGTCATGGTCCATGTCTCTGCTTTTTGCGTAAATGATTTTAGCACCGATGAAGTCAGGATGATCTGCTTTGAACCTAAATGACAATTACCATTTGATGAAGTTAATCGAGATCTTGTATATTTATTGAGTGAATATGATCGAATCTAATAATTAAATAGCTCTTCTAATTACTGTATTGAATTTCAGTGGATTTCACCTTGTCACGACATCATGAAGAATATTCACAGTTTCAGTGGTGGTGTAAATCTTCCCGTCGAGATCATACAATTTCTGAAGTCCTGATCGCACCTCGACATACATGACATTGTCTTCATACAACTCTAGAAGTCCTTGATAAAAATGATCTTCGGCCAAAGGCCTGTAATTGAGAAATGACCTGAGAAAGGTGAAGATATTCTGAAACTTTTCCCAGAGAACGTTGGTGTCTGACCGATCAGGAATTTCCGTTAACATCGTCATTTGTCGCCGAATTCTATCTTCCAGAACTTGACGTACCAGCGGATTCCGTCTGCGTTCATATAGGGCTTGCCAATTACAATCGTTTGATGGGGTTTTGAAGAATTTGAGCGATAGATGATTATGTTTATCACAAACGTACAAATTAGTCCTGTATGTTTGAAGGTAGAGCCAATCTGTATTAACCATGGCCTTGTGGTGAATGTGGAGAGCTGCACCTTTTGGCATTTTTCTAACCAATTGGAATAATGGCGAGTTGTGTAAAGACTCGATATCGCTCTTGAAATTTTTTAAAGGCCAAGAATAAATCCGCGTCTTGTCTAAACATACAACAACGGTAAATAAAATGGATTGTAAATGACAAGTCTGTAGTGTATAGTAGATGTAACAAATAAGAAATGATGTATTGTTGATTACATTGATTACGCTAATTAGAGCAATGAGTTGATAATGACAATAAGTTCAAATAATCTTCATTGGGAATTCACCTATTACAGAGTTGAAGAACTTCAAGTCGCGTGTTTCCATTACGGCACGCATATCTCTGTGGCATATGTCAAATTCCGGATTAGCATATACCGCTATTCCTAATGGAAATTGAGGTTTATTGGCAGATACAAGAGGCAGAAGGATAAGAATTCTTGCAATTATCATCGCAAACTATTATATGCAACTCCTAAATTGGTTATTTGAAGACGCTCTTGGCTTTGTGGGTAGAACGTGCAGATATACGTAAAATCAGTAGTTTCACTCTACTAAAAGTTGAGTGAAAAGAAAATTATCTGGTTGAAATAAAAAATGTTTGAACGTTTTTCCGAGGGTTTTAAAAGAAGAATGTTATAGAACTGGAGATATAAATTGGGATCTGTTATTTATACTGAATTCCCTCCTTCGTAGATATTGAAATGTAAATATTTGTCAGCCTGAAGTCGATGAATTTTGGAGTTCATACTTAATACTGCAATAGGCACAACTGCTAGTCAATCTCAGGTCTCATCCATCCACGTGAACAAACAATGTTTAAAAAATATACCATTTGTGTCCCTGAAGACGTTTGTAAGATTTGTAATCAAGTGTTACTTTTAAATATGAAAAAAACCGGGTGATGAAGACATGTATTCTCACATAAAAATTGATTAATTCGATTAATTTCTATCGTCATATAATGATGAAAATGATAAATTATTGAAATCTAATATAGAATAAATAATTAGATCGATAACAGAATGAATTAAGTACAAAAAATATAATTTATGTACGGAGAGAAATAAATATATTTATTTATATGAATTCAGTATAAAAAATATCACAAGGTCAATCTTCTGATGACAGGAGGGATTTTTTGGACGAAAATTATTATGGATTTTTATTTTTTTTTTCAACTCTCGTCATCTCGATTATTGTGAAATCATCTAGAGGCTATTTCTAGTTTAATTTTTATGGCTTGACTAGAACTAGATGTTTTAGAGATTATTTTCATTTGATTTTTAGAGTGTGAAGAACATTATTTTGCATTTTGCATTTTTATTTTGATGCCTGTCAAACAACTCAGTATCTCTGCGAAGTCGGGATATAAATTATAGTTTTTTAGGTTTTTGAAGATTTTGCGTAATACGTTTGCATCATTTTTCAATAACAAAGAAAATGAACAGGTTTATGGAGAAAAATTATAACTTTACAATGTACCTTTTCCTTTTTTGAAATATTAATTTTTATTACCAATAAAGATCAAAACTGAGCGCAGTTCCATTTTTTGTTCCACATTCACCATCTCTAATATTCAGTACAGAACAAGTGAAGGACATTAATTCGATTTAATAAACAATTGGGTTTTCGAGGAATATCTCTAAATTTTAGAGCCAGCAAAATCTTTAAAAAATTTTTTGCAGCTGTCATTTAATTATACTAGAGAACGTGTGAGAAATTGAGCGTTTTCAGAAAAAATATTCACCGGAACTTTTATTTAGTGTTATTTATTCTAAAATTAGTGTTTGTGCCTAAGGATTTCAAAGTTTTTTGGTCAACGTCGAGATTTTTCCCATGGCATAACCGACGGTACCCATTCCCAATGAAAGTTTGGCGACCAATTTAAAGACCTATAATTATTGATTATGAGAAGCTCCAAGTGTACATATTCTGGATTCCTAGTCACTCGAAAGATTTGGTGGTTGCACGCGAAATTAATGTGATTTCTTATCGCTTGGTCCCATTTCTCGTCGATAGTCTTTAGAGCTTTGACTTTTTCATCTGCAGAGAGAACGCTATAAATAATGGAATCCTTAGCGATTTTTTTAAGTGAATGAAAGGACGCTCGATATTCCATGATGGCCACGTAGGTCTCGTAGAAATCGTAGCTAAGGCCTTTGGCACCCCACATGCCTGGATCATCACTAGAAATTACCACTGGGATGTCTAGAGCAAATAACACTGATGCCTGATGATTATAGAGATCTTTCACAAGTCCCAACACTTGATTTGAGATTGGACAAACTTCAACAGGAATATTCTTTTTTTTGAATTCTCTTATAATTTGTATCTCTTTCGAAAGTGAATAAGCATGACCTATTCTTTTCGAATGATGCCTAATTGCCGCATCTACATTGCTACTGGACACAGTCCCATCATTCAATTGTGTCTCTCCAGCATGGAAGAAAAAATCTATATGTTTTTCAGCTTCTGATAGTAGTTCATAGTAATCGTTCAATTGTATCGCCGGATTTTCACGGCCTACCAAATCCACACCAGCGATGAATTCAGGGTAAATCCGTTTCAATTCTATAGCTTCGTCAAGGAAACTTTTCAATTTGGCTTTTCCCATTCTTTTACTTTTGGAGTAGATTATTTTAGCACCGATGAAGTCCGGATGCTCTCTTTTGAATCTAGAACCATAATCATGATTTCATAAATATTATTGAATTGTTATATGATATTTTTTGAAAATAAGTAATTATAAACAAACAAAAACAAATTGAAGAGGAACAAATACTACAATAATATAGGATAAAATTAAAAAAATGAATTTGTGGTTGAAGTAAATTTGTTGCATTTTAGATTTTGAGTTTCATTCAATGAGGCTCGCTAGATCTTACCTGTTTGCAACTTCCTGAAAAATACCCGCAGTTTCAATAGTGTTGTAAATCCTCCCATTAAGATCATATAAATTTGAAAGTCCCGATCGCACCTCCATGTACATGACATTATCTTCATAGAATTCTAAGAGTCCTTGGTAAAAGTGATCTTCGGCCAAAGGTCGGTAATTGAGGAATGGCCTAAGAAATTTAAATACCCTCTGAAATTTCGACCAGGCAGCATCGCTATTCGGGTACATCTCTTCAGGATTGAGCACTATCATCGTCATTTCGCCCCGAATTCTCTTTTCCAAAGTATCATCTCGCTGCAATGTTCTAATTTGACTCAAAAGTTGCCAACTTGAATCATGTTTTCCGAAAAAATGGAGTCGTAGACGGCCATCCACATCCTGGATGTACAAATTCTCCCTAAATGTTGCATTGTAGACCCATTCTCCATCAACCATGGCTTTGTGATGGACATGAAGAGCTGCCCCTTTCGGTATTTGCTGTATTAGTTGAAATATTTCTGTTTTTTTGATTAAGTCACGTGCTTTCATGAAATTCATTGCAGGAAGCACACCATAATTTTGTTTTGCTGTAAACGTCACAAGGGTATATAATTTGGATTGCAAATGACAGAAGAAATAAGAAATCGATTATATATTCATTACGGTAATTAGGGGTGACAATAAGAATAAATACAAATTATCTTCGGTAACTCACTCAGAGATTGATCTAGCGACTTTATCACTCCGGCTTCCAACCAATTGTTGTATAAGTTGTGACACTGCTCTGCAGTTAATTGGAACTGCTCCAGAGACGCTGCATAGGCCACTGCTATGAGTAAAACAACAGCAATTCTTATCATCATCATGCAAAAATAGAGTATCCAAATAGACAAGTCTTTATTTAGAAACACTTGAAATTCTAGGGGAAAATGGATGAATTGATGTGAAAGAAGTAGTAGTAGCTTTAAACAATTTTTCTTCCAGTGGTGTGTAAAAGATGGAACTTTGGAAACTGAAGATTCAAATAGAATCCAGAATATATATGGAAATCCCTCCGTCGTCGACACAGAAATGCCAATATTTGTTTGATAATATAAAGAGGAATATGGGCAGATTTCGATCGTAATATTGGAATAGATACGAACCCTAGTCAACAGGTCTTATCAATCCACGTGAACTAACACAATTGAAAAAATTTGACATAAGGAAACCATTCGTGTCCCTGAAGACTGTTATTCTACAATATAAAATAGAAGAGTCTGTGTTGTTTGCCACCAATGGAATGGGGTAGATGGGTCGAATAAATAATGATTGCAATAATATTAATGGATAAATGTTGTTTAGGACAAAATTTATTAGTTTATTAAGTAAAAAAAATTAATATAGAATAAATAACGAGATCGATAGCACAATGAATCAAGTAAGTACAAAAAAAGTGATTTATGTACGAAGGAAAATAAATATATCTATGTATATATAAATTCAGTATAAAAAGTATGACGAGTTATGATTAATAATAATTACAAGGATCATTTTTGTTCCAGTAGGTGGATCGTATTATCAATCCACTCGAGATGATAAGGGACACTAGTGAAGACATCCGGTATCCCCTCCGCGCAGGAGGGACCGCTGAAGGACGTAATTCCCACAAGTAAATTATCAAAAACTAGAGGACCTCCACTATCTCCAGCGCAGATTCCGAGTTTTTTACTTCCCATAACGCAAATGTGAGTTCTGTTGATGGGATCTGGTCTGTGGGCTTTGGCACAGCTTTTTCGTGACATTACTGTTCTATCCATTTCCTGGGGCTTCACAGGTGGAACACGATTCTCCGGAGCTATTCGCCCCCACCCAACGGCAGTCACTTTACTTGACACCCGGGGCACCGATTCCGACACGGAAATTGGCTGCGTGTAGCGATCGAATTTTATGGATTTATTGGTCTGAAAAAAACCATAAGTTTTCAATACACCATTGAAAATTTTCATTTATCATATCCTAATACTCTGAGAATTTTCCGAATATTCGGAAATGATTTATTTATTTGCACATTCATAATTTTTCAATATTTCAATTGACAAATTGTTTACTGTTATTTCAGCTATTCATTTTTTCATTCTTTCAACATCATAAGCTATCACACTTTTTAGAAAGAATTTCGTGTAAACAATCTGTAAATCTGAAGAATTATATCATGCGCCAGTTTTCTGACAAGTCAACTCAATCGGAAAACTGGTGTTTGCTGAGTCAAGACAGTTGTCCAGTCTGAATACAGAAGTTCAATTGTTTATTTAACTTTATTCTATGTATTTTTTTCAACGGTACCTTTATGATTGCAATATCATGCGGAAAACTTCCAGAGTCTTCATACGCCTCGTGAACAACAATAGTGTCCACTCCATAGGCTACACCACCTTGCCTTGACCTCATATTTCCTGCTCGTACGAAAACATGAGGAATATCTGATTTTGTAAGTTTATGAACACAATGAGCAGCCGTAAGGACGTATCTCCTCGATATGATGGAACCGCTGCAGAAGGAGTCATCGGTGTCTATTCCCACCAGGAATGGGTACTCAGCGTCACTGACATCTACACCCCCGACGATTTTCTGGCTCCTCCCAATGCCAACTGAAACTGGTGATCATACCGGTCGTGAGTGATTACTTAATAATTTAATGGAGTAATTTAATCCCATCACTCTAAAAAACGTGTACCATTTCAAGAATTTCAAGAAATTTCAAAGACTTCAACGGAATTCGCAAGATTATAAAGAATTTTATATTCTTCATATTTTTGGGAATTATTCCATCGTTCGATTGATCTCTGACTTTCTCATCAATGTTTTTTTATGAATACGCAATGTTATTTCAAACCGTTCCGCGCGATTCATGAATTTTTCCTCAAAATTTCACGGAATTCCATGGAATTCAATATCACGTGTACACCAAATTTCCAAAGTAATATCTTCTCTAGGTTTTCCTATTTTTTCCAGTTACTATTTGGTGAATAGAAAATATTTTTGCTGCGTACTCACCAGAGATGGCTTGCGCTGCTATGAGAAACAGGCAAAACGTTTCAACATCCGAGATCCTTCTGGCAGACATGGAGAAGTTTTCCGCCAATTGCAATCGATGATCTGGAGAAACTACAATTTAAGACTGAATGATTAGAGGCAAAGACTTGACTGTGAGAAATAGTGCAAATTATCTGGTATATATACCTACCATATCGAATGTCGTCATGATTTGACTAATTTTCCTCAACTTAGGAAAAGACGGAAGTATCGTTGCGTTGTTCCGATTAATGACGGCAGTCCTCACTTTTTGCGGCATGAAATTATGCGAAGGAAAAGCTATTTTCCTGTCTCCGACGCATAATATCCCTGTCTTCTCTCAGAAATCATCAATTAATTCGGAAAATTACGTTATCATTACAATCATGCAAGCCTCAGCTCTTTGTTCTACGACCCGCTAAAATAAATTTACAAAAACAATTTCACTACTCATTCATGGAGAATTGAAATAATACTCTTTACCCCTGATTGAGTACATTATGTACTCAACACCTTTGTGACGTCATAGAAAATTATTGCCCTTTTGAACATTTTAATTGTCATTTCCTGAGGACTTTTCTGAATTCTTATAACAAATTGCACTGAAATTTCTCAGAATTTCGTAATTGGCTATTCATGGAAATCTCAATTAATACTGCATTTTTTTTTGACTGAGTATGAGTACATGAGTGTATATGAGTATTTATTTTAATTATTTTAACGAGTAATTGCCCATGTCTTCTCAGTTAATTTTGCAAAAATTCCCAGGACTACAAAAAAATTTTAAAAATACAGGCACAACTGTAAAAATTTGTGTTATAGCATAATTGTTTTGTTTGATTAAAGAAATTAATCATGGGTATGAATAAATAAATAAGTGCATAAAATTTTGATTTACGCCAATAAATAGGGGTGGTAATACCAAAATATGAATTAAGAAAAAAAAACCAATTCCGTTGATTTTTCGCCGGACAATCAATGAAGAACTTTTTAAAAATTGTTATCCACATGTGCACACATGCACACACATACAACCCGTCCTAAAAATCGAATTTTCTGAATTTTTCGATTTTTTGAATTTTTGGCAAAACTTTATAACGAATAATTATAATGCTTCGAAAGTAAAAGAAAGGGGAAAGAAAAAAGAAAGTTTACTTTCCCGAAAATACCTGTATAACCGACAGCTGTCGAATTACCCTCCCTTTAGTTACATACCCCTAACACGTAGTTGTTGAGTACAAGTAAAGTACAATTGATACCTCAAAGAATTTGACTCACGTAGTGAATAATCCCGAATGGCGCATGCACGGCTCAGCTGGTATGTGATGAAGGCGATATTTCGCCAAGTACAATAATGCATTTTTACTGTGCTTTTAACGTATTAACCAAGTGCTGGACGCTGTACTGTTGGTAATGGGTGAGTTATGAGTACCGAATGAATAATCGATGGGCTTGTGGTTTGCATCTAGCATGAGCTATTTTCAGTGTTTCTTTTGTCAAAGGATCACCCCTCATAGCACCTGCTATGAGACCCACCTAACTTGTCTGTCAACTCCACAATCATCTGTCATCGAATCATTTATCCACGATAAATAACACTGGAATATTTCATATAATATCCACTGTTTCGGGTTTTAAGATTCCCACAATTTATCCAGGGTAATGTAGCTCATTGTTTAGTGCTGGTGGTTGCCAGTAAGAATGCAAACAATCTGATCGTAGATGTCTAAAAAAAACAACGTTATCACTGGCATAATCTACGAAAATAGTTCATTATTTATAACCACTGTATTATTTATAAACTCGTTACGTTATTTTTTTTTCTCTTTCCCAGAATCATGGACCTTGATGACAAACTCGCAGCGCATAAAAAAATGATGATTAGTACTTAACTGAATGGTTAATGAGGAACGATTGGAGTTTTGGGAATTTTTGGGTTTTACATTATTTTCATTTTAAATGTGCCACAAACGGAGGTGGACACACGAGAACAGCTGGGACTGCTACGTGTCTTTGATACTGTTTTTTTGAGGGTTTTGAGGATTTGTTTGAAAATTATTTGGGAATTCTGAGGGTGAGGATGGATTTGATTGGAGATGAGGACAGGCGGAGACGTCTCAGAGCACTCGAGGAGAGGATCAAAGATCCTCGCAGTGTTTCCAATATCGATTGTCTTCTGGATACCGTGCAGGCACTTGTTGCTGATTGTGAACATCCCAGTGTCAAGAGGATGAAGAACATCGAGGCTTATACGAACAGATGTAAGTCGTTTTTTTTCCCCAAAAGTTCTTCTGCAATTAAGACCTAGTGTGATTTTTATATAAATTTTATTTTTAATCCGCCTCTGGACTTTATATGTATGAATTACTTGAAGAAATGGAATTGTCATTCCTCAGATGATTCAGTGGCTCAGGAAATCTGCAAGATGCGAATGCGCACAGACGACTTCACCCTGATAAAAGTGATCGGTCGAGGTGCCTTTGGTGAAGTGCAACTAGTCAGACACAACTCCACGCAGAAGGTCTACGCGATGAAATTATTGAGTAAATTCGAGATGATAAAGCGGTCAGACTCTGCCTTCTTCTGGGAAGAACGTGACATAATGGCCCACGCAAATTCCCAGTGGATTGTCCAGCTGCATTTTGCCTTTCAGGATCAGAAGTACCTCTATATGGTGATGGATTATATGCCAGGGGGTGACCTGGTTAACCTCATGTCGAACTACGATGTTCCGGAGAAGTGGGCAAAGTTCTACTGTGCTGAAGTTGTTCTGGCGTTGGATGCTATTCACCTGATGGGATTCGTTCACCGAGACGTCAAGCCTGATAATATGTTGCTCGATAAATACGGACACCTGAAGCTCGCGGATTTTGGCACGTGCATGCGAATGGACACTGACGGTTTAGTGAGGTCTGACACAGCTGTGGGTACACCTGACTACATCTCCCCAGAGGTTCTTCAGTCCCAGGGTGGAGAAGGGGTCTATGGACGAGAGTGTGATTGGTGGTCCGTTGGAGTTTTCCTGTACGAGATGCTCGTCGGAGATACTCCGTTTTACGCAGACTCCCTGGTGGGCACCTACTCCAAGATCATGGACCACAGAAATTCCTTGCACTTCCCCCAGGAGGTCGACATATCCCACTCAGCAAAGAGCCTGATATGTGGCTTTCTGACTGACAGGACAAATCGTCTAGGTAGAAATGGCGTCGAGGAGATAAAAACTCATCCCTTCTTCAAGAACGACCAGTGGACATTCGATAATCTTCGGGAGTGTGTCCCCCCAGTGGTGCCTGAGCTCTCTGGAGACGATGATACCAGCAACTTTGATGATGTTGACAAGGAAGACACACCTGAAGAGAGCTTCCCTGTGCCAAAAGCCTTTTCTGGCAATCACTTGCCCTTCATAGGTTTCACTTACTCCGGGGATTACCAATTGTTGATTAATAGTTCCGGCAAGGAATCCGTGGATGGCATCAGTGGAATTCTTGATAATCATATTAATAATGGAGGTGTCACGATAACGAGTGATGACCACAAGATATCGCAGCTGGAGAGTCTACTGGAGCGAGAGAGGAGGCAAGTGGAGACTCTGGAGGCACGACATCACGCCCTGACGAGTCAAATGGAGGCAATCACCAGGAGGGAGAGCGAGGTGAGAGGAGAGGCTGCTAGGGCTGACAAAGAGTTGACAATTCTCAGACATACGTACAAGGAGGTGCAGCGAAGGGTTGAGCACGAGACAGAGGCGAGGCGCAAGGCTGAGAATCATCTTGCAGAGTTGAAGAAGAAATTTGACGAGGAGCAGAGCAGGAGGCAAAGGGACGCCTCCAACTCCCATCTTAACTCGGAGAGAGTTCTTACTCTGGAGAAGCAGATTAAAGAGATGCAGAGTAAACTCGAGAGGGAGACTGAGTCGGCGAGTAGAATGAGAAAACAGGCGACTGAGGTAACAGTTGCCAGGCAAACTGCCAAACAAATGGCCAATGAGTTGCAGGCAGCTAGGGCACAACTCCAGGCGCAGACTGACTCACTTCAGCAGGAGGTGGCTAGCCTTCAGGGACAGCTCTCTAAGGAGCGCAGCTCTAGGACTCAGGAGGCAAATTTAACTGCTGAGCTCAAGTCCAGGTTGGCTGCGTTGTATGCTGAGCTCGAGGGCGCTAGGGAGAAAGAGGAAAAGGTCATGCTGGATAATAGATTGCTGAATGAAAAGGTGTCGGCGTTGGAGAAGGAGGCGGCTAGCTTGACACTCGAGCTCAAGGCTGCACAGGCTAGGTATAACCAGGAAGTCGCTGCTCATCAGGAGACTGAGAGGTCTAGAATGCTGTCCAAGGAAGAGGCTAATATGGAAGCGGTCAAGGGTGAGTTTCTCATAAGATTCATCTCAATATCAATTTATTCTAATTGAATTAATAATTTATAGATACATTTTCATTCATATTTTTCTCTCTTTATTAATTTGAGTTGGCAATTAAATTCAGTAGAATTGATGGCACAAGTTCTCGCTTCCAACATCTCTGTTGATTCTTCATTTATCTTTTGATGAAGCCTTTTATTTGTCTCTTGATAAAATTTGATAAAATTCCACGCGAAGAATATTATCCGGCATTTTTCCTGCAATCATCCGGTATTAAAATAATTTCACTTTACATGAAATTAATTCAGTGATGAATTGTAAGGTTTTTGCAATAACTTTGAATTATTATTGTCTATAAATTGTATAATGAGTGATATGTTCATTCACACGCGGCAGGAAGTTTAAACAAGACTATCAAAGGTACAAAATTATTGTGTATCACCTAATCAAATAATTCTGTTAAAATTAAAGAGATGATTAAAGTTAATCGATTGTTTCTTTTCCTTTTTACAATGGCAAACGCTTATATCGGCACTCTTACGTACGTACGAAAATAAGCACCAAAATGAGATTTCTAAACAGAATTTAACGATTCAAGTTCACTGTTGCTTTCCATTTTCATGATTGTCCATTTCTTCGTCAGCTCTACAAGTTAAGCTGAACGAGGAGAAGAGTGGACGACAGAGAGCTGAACTCCTGGCCCAGGAGAAGGAGAGACAGACGTCGATGCTCTCCGTGGACTATCGCCAGATTCAGCAGAGATTGCAGAAGCTGGAGGGTGAGCACAGGCAAGAAGTGGAGAAGGTGAAAGGCCTCCAGGGGCAAGTCGAGCAGGAGCAGCAGAAGAGAGACATTCTCCAGGCGGAATTGGGCCAGCAGACGTCAGAAGCTGGAAGACTTCGTGCACGTGAGCAACAGCTGCTGGGAGAAGTCAGTCAACTGCGAGAAGCCAAGAGACAGATTGACGAGGAGCTCAATACCCTCAAGACTCAGCGAAACGTCGACTTACTCCAAAGCAAGGAACTCCAGGAGCAGCTGGAGGCTGAAGCTTACTTCTCGGTAAAAAAAAATATTGAAACCCATCTATCTGTTACCTCATCTCTTTATTTTTACTTTTTTTTATCATGTCGAAAATAAAAATATGTTGTAATAATGTTATTTAACAGACACTGTACAAAACACAGACTCAAGAACTCCGCGAGGAGCTAGATGAAAAGACTCGTCTCCAGCAGGAACTTGAGGAGGAACGAAGTTCTTTGGTGCATCAGCTGCAGCTGTCTCTGGCTCGAGGTGACAGTGAAGCGCTGGCTAGATCGATAGCTGAGGAGACAGTCGCTGATCTTGAGAAGGAACGAACGATGAAGGAGTTGGAATACAAAGACGGTCTCGTCAAGCATCACCATGAGCTCACAGCTAAAGAGCAATTGCTGAATAAAATCAAAGAGAGTGAATCAGAGCTGAAGAAGTCTGTGGAGCAGTATGTTAAAGAGAAGGATGAGGCCACTAAGAAGCTCAAGGACTTGCAGGAATTACTGACTAAGTCCCAGGAGGAGACGGACAAGCTCAATGCCAGATTGAAGACGGAACAACTTCTCAAGCAAGAGGCAATCAGCAAATTGACGCAGGTTGTCAGCAGAAAGGACTTCTCAGCAACTGGGAAAACCAAGAATAAAGCCTCTTCAGCTGATCTCAGGAAGAAGGAGAAGGACTGCAGAAAATTACAGCAGGAGCTCACACAGGAGCGTGAGAAGTATGGACAATTGGCAGCTAAATGGCAAAAAGATTTGCAGGATCTTCAGGCGCAGCTTGTCGAGGAGAACTCCTCGAAATTAAGACTGCAGATGGAATTGGACTCTAAGGATTCTGAGATTGAGACACTGCAGATGAAGATATCATCGATGAACTCTGAGACTGCCAGTGTTTCATCCATCGAGAACGATGGGGATGACTCACTATTACCAGATCATGGTGCCATGAGACTTGAAGGCTGGTTAAATGTTCCGAATAAACAGAATATCAAGAGACACGGTTGGAAGAAGCAGTATGTTGTTGTATCATCCAAAAAAATCATTTTCTACAACAGTGAGCATGAGAAAATGAACGCCGATCCTGTTTTGATTCTTGATTTGAGCAAAGTTTTCCACGTGAGGTCTGTGACACAGGGGGACGTTATTAGAGCAGACGCCAAAGATATTCCTAGGATATTTCAGGTAGGAATCCACAAGATTTGAATTTAGGAGCTGTCAGTGTAGATTTTCATAACTTATCATTGATAGTTGCTGTATGCTGGCGAGGGTGAAGCCAGGCGTCCTGGTGACGAGAGCAATCCACTGCCAGGAGCTGAACTACCTCAATTGACTGATAAGCCAGGGACACAATCGGTCAAGGGACACGAGTTCATTTCTATTTCTTATCACATGCCAACTACCTGCGAAGTCTGTTCGAAGCAATTATGGCACATGTTCAGACCTCCACCAGCCCTCGAGTGTCGAAGTAATTATCCATTGCCTCTCAATAAATTAATAAATTTATTGTAATAACACATTTTTTTCTTCTAGGATGTCACATCAAAGTTCACAAGGAGCACCTGGACAAGAAGGAAGATGCAATAGCTCCATGCAAGCTCCACTACGATCCCAACAGTGCGCGTGAACTCTTGTTACTCGCTGGCAGTCCCGACGATCAAAAATACTGGGTCGCCCGACTATCTCGACGCATCCAAAAGTGCGGATACAAGGCAAACTCTCACGTTGATGGAACAGGACAACGCGTATCGCCAAGGTAGCGTAAATTCGGACACCAACAGGAACACCTTAGTAGCTCTTGTTTTGTGACAACGCATGATTGGGTGTAGCGAGGTTAGCGCCTTTGTTTTTGTCCTGTTTCGTACGAGAAGAGTGAAAATTTGTGTGCATGTCGATATTTATTTGTCTGCAGTGTCGACTGCTTTTGTCTTGCAGAGCTGGGCATCATCTGGCGCAGTCGAAACGAAAAAAAAAACACATTGCCATTTAAATTCACTAGACATTCATTCCCACATTCATTGATTCATTTCATTTTATCATTTGAATCACATGAAAATCTAAATTCGAGTCTATTTCATACAGGAATATACCAAGTGAATTGTCATTAACATAATTATTGGTTTATTAATCGTTTAGTGAGTGAAATATGGAATTTGGAATATGGAATATGGAATATGATAATGACAGTGAATAGCAATAAGTAATAATAATATTTTTCACCCAGCTCTGATGCTCTGCCTATTTGTTGTGTGGCTTTCGGGTCGTTTAGGATCATGGGGCTTATCTCTGACGATAAATGAACATATTTCATAAATTCTATTCCAGGGAATCAACAAGATCAACGTTAAAACCTTACCTCTCTGTTCAACAGAGATCAGCAACGTTACCAGCTAATGCGAGTATGGGAAAATGACCTTAAAACTCACTTGTGATCAGTTAGTAACCAGGATCATGTTCTGTTCTGTGCTATTTAAAAGAAGTTATGAGAGACAGGAGATACTGATGGAATCTCAATCGCCAAAGGTACACAGATTAGACAGTGATACGAGTTGTACGATGAAGCTCCATGGAATAATGAATGATCAATTGTTGTGAGGGTTCCAGGGAGGCTGGATACACTGTGTACATCGAATCCATTTGATATTTGCCATTTAATCTCGAGTCCCCCTTGCCAAGTTCGAGAAAAATCGATTCATTATTATTATTATTTTTTTTCTAATTTACGTGACAAATTCGTCGTTCTTTTCTACTAATGATTCTGTTTTTTTTTTTTTACTATCAACTTGCGATTCGATAGGTAATTGGGAAGTTGAGAGTACAGTCGTCAAACCTATTGTGTTTATGAATAATCATAAGTTTCCTTTCGATGAATAGAATCCTTTAAATTTCAAATCGTATAGTATTATTATTTTTATATGTAAAAAAGGGTGAAGAGGCAGAATTAACGTCGTGGTGTGATTTATTTTTAATGAATCATGTTAATGGATATGATATTTCTCCTCTTTTTATTAAGTAATTGTACCTAAATTCAATCAAATGGAATGGGATCTCGATTCATGGGTGTTTTTTTTTTTAATGTACAAAACAAAATGAATTGAGATGACTTGCAACATCACCACGAGTGTCAGAATTTTGTTGTAATGTTACTGAGTAGTTGAAATAAGCGAAGAATGAACAATCAATATTCGAAGATAATATAATTTTCATTGAGACGCGCATTAAATGACTAATCGATACGAATTATTATATAAAAATGTGAGAAAACACATTCTCGATGTTTTTTTTTTTTTCTAGTGGTCGTAGAGATGAGAGTCGTAGTGCCCATTGAATCAAGTGGTGCTAGTGGTTTTTTGCATCTGATTTTTCGATGTAATTTGATAATAATTATTGGGGGTTTATTCCTACAGCCTGTAATTGCTAGTTGAGCAAAAAATGTTAACCGACTGCTGCCCTGTGCCTTTTTTTCGTTCTCTGCCTCATCTGTGGGGCAGAATTTCCCTCTTTATATGGAAAAAAATTCTACAAATTTTTCTGTACTCTAATACAGTGAGATAATAAGCGAAGTAACTAGAGTAAAGAATTAAATAAAAGAGAAAATAGTTATTATATTGAATGATAAATAATTGTTGCAACCTGTTTTCTCAATTTAATAAGTCTCTCAATAATATTAACGAGAATATACGTGTGACAGGCGGTGAATCAAAGGTTTTTCTTGAGTTAAAGAAGATGACAGATGCACGGTGCTGCTGAGTCACGACGACCAACAATTTCTAAGGTAAATTATTGATAAATTTAATGAGAGAAAGTGAAATAACGATAATACGAAAACAACTGAGAATGCAAAATACTTGTTACACCATATTTTATTGTTTAGTTATTTACAATCTGTATAATATCAATTATTATTACGATTAAAACTATTTTGTAGATAATATGCAAATTTTTATCATTTATAATTAGCAATTGTTTTATGTGTATTGGAAATTGTCGTTTGTTCGTTAATGGCTAGAGATTCAATATTACCCCAAGAAAAAAAGAAAAATGCTTCTCTACATTATTAATGCGACTAGGACCTCACTGTACTCTCATTAATTGGTGATGAAAATTTCACGCGAAAATGGATTACGTATTAATTTCATTTTGAGATAACTCGTATAATTATATACACCATCGAAAATCTACCTTCACTAAAAATTCAATGATTATCATTGATGAATTTCGTATGTTTTAAGAGGCGAATAATTTAAAAGACACATGCACGGCCATGGGGGGAATAAAACATTACGTTTAACGATTCATCACTTCATAAATCGTAAGATACAATGAGAAATACATTCCTCGTTTCTAAGCTCTAGATCGCCAGTAAAATTGTTGAGAAAGCTGTAAAAATCCATTCCAATAACGTTTTTGAATTTCAATAATTTTCCACTGTGATTTAATACGGATGGGAAGATGTCTTCAACACGGTGCTGATGAATTGCCGCATTACCCTGGCATGATTTACTTCCTCACAAAATTCACGAGCGCCCGATGACTGAATCTCGTCCTCATCGATGGCACAAACTGTCTCATCTGATTCCCCAGATTCTTCACTGGCTCCTTCACACCCATTCGTTTCTTCAAGCTCTCCTGCTTGGCTCCCCTGTATCAACAGAGCTCACCTCATACACCATCGTCTACTTATTTCTAAGAGACGGTAAGGCAAGAGGAAAAGCGCGATAGAGAGACAAAGCGGTGATAATTTGGCAATGTGAATTGTTTTCACAAGCGAAGCAACACAGGGAGAGAGAAAATAATTAATCAAGTGTCACTTACAAGTATCTGGTCAGGTCCTCAACGTCAACTAGCATCGAGTCCTGCTCCATGTGGAGATCATCTCGCCTCAGGAGACCCTCCACCAGTGCCTCATTTAAGACAGCAATTCTGGCGTGAAGATCGTTTGCTATCACCTGGAGCTGAGCCACATTCAATTCTGTGAGGAGTGTTCGAGATAATCTTCGTCTGGTCTCTCCTAATTGCACCCCAACCTGCGAGAACAATGGATGCATTCAGATCAGATCGTGGGGTGAATACCAGAGCAATCATTTCAATCGTAAAACAATAAAAAAATATAAAAATTGAGGAAGATATAATTAAAGAAAAAAGAGAATTAGACTAAATCAACAGTAATTTATGTTAGAAGCAAGAAATGTTTGTCTTTGTTGATAATTTGTTATTAATGTTCACCTTCTCCAGGCTACACCGAACCATCTCAGTAATGGGGCTCTGCTTCAGTCTCTGTCTCTCCACCTCCATCTGCATATGTGCCATTTCCTTGGCCTGTGCCAGTGCCATTCTCGCCTCGGTCTGGAGTCTAGCCTGTCGTGCGAAGAAATCCGCCTCATCAAGAGGTGCACTGGACATATCCGTCTCAAGCCTCAAAGGAGGAAGACTTAGGACCTGGGGCCTGGCAGCTCCACTTGCCCCATAACCATTACTCCCCTGACTGTGTTTGACATTCAGCGGTGAATCAGAATCTGAATTCGGTGACTCTGTGTCAGACGGTGTTTCATTCATGAAGCAAATCTGCAGATTCATCCCTGCAAAATTGATATGAGAAAAAAAAAACCCATTGTTAAACAATTTAATGTCAATTTAAAATGGAAAATAGAGTAGATAATTGATGGTATCTACCACTCTGTAGGCGTGATTGTAGACTTGGCTTTCGTCCGCGTTCCAATCGAATATCGTCTGCATCCGGTCCCATGGCAAGACGCCTTCGGATTTCCTCTCGATCATTCCGTCGCTGAAACCAATACACAAAGCTATTTCAAATGCCCAAGAGATGATCCACTAAATTTGCTGATCCCCTGAACCTCAGTAATAATATCGCCTTGAATAATCTTATCGAATCGCGCAATCACGTCTTCCTTGTCACGATGGATTAAACCCGACACTGGACCATTTGCCACAGCAGCAACCATATCGTTGAATCTCTGATCTGTGACATTGTGCGCTTCCTCGAGCTATTCAAATGGTCCAGAAAATATAAGAAAATTAATAATCCAGTGAAGATCCCGTTTATTATCGTCAGACTCACTGGCTCTGGATCCTGATCGTAAGTGAATGTGTAGAGATCGGCTATAAATCGGGAATCTTTCTTGTAATGTCGCTGCCACTTTCTTGCACTACCCATTGTTGAATCAATCTACAGCTATTGCTTACGAATTTTCAACGACTGAGAATTCAGGTGAGAACCAGCACCAGGGACACTGGAGTGAAAGTATCCAGTTTTCCCTCACTGCCTGAGGTCTTGCTCTACTCCACCACTCCTCACCTGACATTCGGATCAATCTCTCTGTATGCGTTTCTCCCATTTACCCTGGCCCATTGTTACTGTCATTTATGTTTCATTTATGTTTGTCCCAGGAAATCCAAACTCATCGGGGCAATCGCTATATTTTATTCAATTTTTATTTTTTGTTTAGTTGAGTAACTTTGCCAGCTTGAGGATAAATTTTAACACCGACTGACTCTGGGATTCGCATGATTGATCATGCGGATCAATGACGCTGTACCGTTCAACGGGATTATCTATCCCACAACAAACTCTTTCTTTCGTTGGATTTTTTTTTGCGGGGAGTCGTGAGAATTCACGGATTTATTCCAATTCGCGGAATTCATGGAATTGGCGGAATCGGCGAAATTGATGCAATTGTTTTCAGGAATTTGCGAGACTGGGGGGTAAGATCCTCGGGGAGCGAATTGAGATTGACGTAAAGAAGATTCTCGCGGAATTTTTTGTTCATTGAGTATTCCGCTGATAAAATAGAGATTTTAATATGTCTCTTCATCCATTTAATTTCTCCTAAACCCAAATTGTCATAAATAATGCATTTGAATTATTAAATTTCTCCGAAACTTTTTCTTTCCGTGGAATTGATTTCTGGCGAAATCCAGAATACGAACGAATTCTTTACGTTTACAGAAAAAAAACATTATCTATTTGAATAACATGAGATGTAAAGTCGTTTGAGTCTTAAATATAGCGCCAAATCTCCACTTTCAATCGCAAAGAATGAAAAAATAACCGAAGTACTTATCCTCAACTCGAGTGTCTCCCATTACCCTTGGAATTAAAATGAAATAATTGAGAAGAGCCACTCCATTCATCACCAAGATATTTCGAACTATCGGTGAATTAAAAATAGATAAAAGCTTGACATTAAAAGGTCATATTCCTCACCCCACGAGTTGCTCCATAAAAATTCATTACCTGGTAATAATTATCACAAGTATCATTGAGATTAAGATCCTTGGGCCTCGGTACAGGTCTAGTTCTACACAAATTCTGATGCATGACGATTCACCACAAAAAACAGTCTGTCAGTTGAATTCCAAATTCCATCGCGCGATGACCAAACGCGTGTCATCACTATCAGCGGTTTGTCATCACTTAGTCCCGATTAAAACAATTTTGTATGAATCCTCAGGATGGCACCAGTGCCAACTCACCAATTATTTCGTTAACAAAAATATTAATTGAATCCGGATGCGAGTGAATGGCAGCGCGGACGACGCGAATCTATGGGAAAATGACAGTGAGAAGAGATGTTTTAGCTGGGGCCCCCTCTGATCCCTTTTTCCACCCCACTGCAACCCTCACCAGCAGCCGCGATTGCCCCAGTATCGATTTTATGAAATTCGTGCGAACCCCATCGCCAAAGGTCTACCCCACCGGATAGGGGAGGCTGGGGCAAAATGGACTCGAAGGTCATTTCACCTAATGCTGGACACTGAGAGGAATTATTATTTATGTCAAGTACATGTACTTCAATTCAAATCTTTTAAACCTTTTGTATATTCCCATAGTTTCCCGTCTTTTTGCAATTTATGATTTTCATATTTTTCTATAATTAATCAATTAGCAATATAATTAACAGAAACATTGTTGTATAACTGTGGAATTTCGGAAGTTATCAAATAATTAAGGAACTGAATGTCTATGTAAAATTCCTATTTAAAAAATATTATTGTTATTATTTAATTGTCCATTTTGTCCCATCCACAAGTAAAAATCAAACAAATGTACTTTGAGCTAGTGTCAACGCCTCTGGCATGTCTCATCACCACTGACAATTGAAAATTGCGCTGCGCTCGTCTGATATTTAATACTTGTTTTTTAACCTGATTAGAGGTCACGGAACCGATAGGCCCCCTCCAGACACGAGTTGTTGACGAGTTTCGTAATTTTAAATTGACTTACTCGACGCTCTTCCTCCCTCGCTGCTCGCAAATGCGATTCTATGGCGTCGAGATCAATTTTCGGCATCGCTGTTTCAATGTTGTAAACATCAAACCCACCTGAAATATATAAACAATTTTAACTGGCAATTTGCAATTTTACGAGAGTTCCACACGATTTTTATGTGACGATCCAGAAAAATCGTGCGGCACATAAAAATTCGTGATGATTCGGTAATTTTATTTTTTCGAGGATTACCGATTCTTTCTGTCTAGAAATATCATGGAGAATATGGAGAACATGGAATTCTAATGAAAGAAGATCTTACCAGCCCTCTCCACGTGCTCCAACCTCCTCTTATCAGTCCTCCCACCGTGTCGTTGAGGTCCATGTCCCTGTTGACGTCGTCTTGCCTGATTCCTCACCATCTTCTCCTTCTTCCGAGAGTCGACACTGAGATCGGAATCTTGAGTGAGATCCACCAGCTTGTTGGTGTCCTCCCTCAGGGTGTCCTTTACCAAACCAGGAAGTGGTCTCGAGTGAACCTCTGCCTCCATAGCCACCACGTCAGGCACTGGTTGCACGTACTTTTCCAGGTCGACACCAATGTCCCGACCAATGCTCGACAGCAGATCAATCTCCTCCAGTTTTTTATACGGCAACTGCTCCTCGGACAATCCCTCAGAGTCTGTATTAGTCTCAGAATCCTCAGTTTTTGTCTCCACTGGTATTTCCGTCACCTCGGGAATCACCTCGGGGAGCTCGATCGACGGCTCCTCCGTCTAAAAAAGATTAAAGTATTCTCACTGCATGAAACAACTCTATTCTTAAATTCTTCCACTGAATTCCTCTAGAATAGAAATTAAAAGGGAGGCAAAATGAAAAAAAAAACCGACAAATCGTTTCATTTTTTTCATTTTCAAGAGAAGTCCTTGAATAATTCACAATCTACTTTAGGCTCGATGGTAAAATAAATATTAATTAACCGAATTAAAATGGAAAATTGATGATTAATTCATTGAATAAGATGAATTAATCATCAAGATTTAAACAAATTGTATAAATTGTAGGAAAAGAGGAAAAGAGGAAGAGAGTGATGTGAATTTATAAGTAATTTCTATTTTTATTTAGAGGAAAAGCAGGGGGAAGAGGAAGAGCTCTGGGAAAACGTGAATTACGGTCATTACCTCACTGTCTTGCTCTGGATTTTTGCCTGCGCTCTCAGGGGGTATTTCCTCAATTTGTGCAAATTGCGGTCGCTCGGTGGAGCTAGATTGTAACTCGGCAAACTCAATCTCCACTGGGATATTGTTCCAGTGTGTGTGATGCTCTTCACTCGGTATGGACTCGTTATTTTCGCACGTGGATGTCTCTGTGTGTGTCTCTTCAATGCTTTTTACATAATTGAGACACTTTTCCGAAGGGGATACGACGCCTTCATAATATGAAGTTACGGTCTGGTAGAGAATTCAGAGAATTGATTAAAAATTGAGGAATCTATCAGCAAATTATTCTTTCAAACTCCACATTCCCAAAAATTTTCAAATACCTTCTCTATTTCTGTATTTAAAAAAGTCAATTGATTTTTAATGCCAAAAGAAAATGTAATTATTTCATTTAATTTTCATTTTTCATTTGTCTGTTTATTTTTTTCAAATTCAGTCATGAGATTTCGGGGAATTTTTCGGGAATATCTCCGAAACGAAGGGAGATAATAAAATTTTTTATAGAACCTTTTTTGTCATACTAACTCGTCCCTACAAAAAAAGTTATTACGAGAATTGCGCCATCTCCCTTAGTTTCGGAGATATTCCCAGAATATCGGAGTTCAGTGTAGAATGTATTTACGTTGTTATCGGGAGTACGAGTGATTATCAGTGCTAATTACCTGAATATTCAATTTAGGTTTTTCGTAGAAGAACTTGTGCTCCGATTTGCGTCCGTCCAATCGATTAACACTGTCTCCAGAGTGATCCTGATTATTATTCTGGACTTGATTGGAAAAATTGAGGTCGTCACATCGAGGGGATGAGCGACGAGTCTCTGGTGGCTGTTCCTCACCACCGAAAATTGATAGAAATGAGGGGGCCAAGTGCTGGAAGCCTGGATAATTCGGATTTATAATTCCCCGACACGAACCAGGCACACTACCCTCTTCAGAATTATCTGAACAGTCTGAACCGCCAGACAACTCGTGCGCCTCGTAATCCGATAAACTCTCGGCTGAACTGCTCAATGATAATCTCGACACCGACAAATTGTTGTTATTTATTATGCTATTGAGATGTTTGGAATTAACGTTGACGTTTGTACGTGCCACTGCCACCGACGACCAGGTTGTCGTGTCCTCAGCAATCCGGAACTCCTGGATATCGAAGTTCTCGTCGTATCGACCAGGTTTTGTCGAGGTGTTGTTGAAGTTCTCGATTTGATCAGATGTCGATGGGATCTCGTTACTTGCACGATCGATTTCGCTTCAGATTCGAACAAGTCATGAGAATTTTCATTGCCAACGATTTTTCACTATTTCTAGGAGATTTATGCTTTTTTTATTGAATTTTCAAATCAAAATCAAATTTTCAAAAAACTCAATTTCTTTAGAATCATGAATTCCAATAAAATGTGAGAAACATGTATTTAAAAACAGTTAAACACAATTAAAAAATGTATTTTAATTAATTTCATTTTTTAAAAACAGTTCCTCACATTTTTTTATTATTATCAATTTTTTGAATTCCATTTTTCTTGAATATCTCCTCAGAAAATTCTATTTTCAATGAAAATAAAGTCTATATGTCACACCCCAATTACTTAAGTAATTAATCAGCGGTTCAAGGTATTTATGGATTTTTTAACTACACAGTAAAATGTCAACATGGTTTACTTACTTGTTATTCAATCCAGGGTGGATGCCGACTGGAGCGAGAACGTCCTTGATCCGCATGACGTACGATTTCCTGCAATTAAACCAAGAAGAAATGACCGATGAAAAATTATCCCATCCTAATCCACTGGTGGTGAGGCAAAACGGGACAGATCAATTCAGGGCGTTTCACAATCCCAAACTGCTGGAGTATTTTCCAGGAACTCACACTCACTAATTCCACTAATTGCAATAAATTCCAATTGCAATTTTCACTCCGCATCCCCGAATTTTTCCGCGACTTTTCTCGCGGAATTCAATCGAAGATCGGCACGTGCCGATTGCTATCGTAAATGCTTCAAAACTTTTTTGATCTCATTTAATTGTTCAATTGAATCGTCGACTTTCTTTCGATTTACCGGTGTAAAATAAAAAGTGAGTACCAAGTGTCTCGGTACAGGGATCAAGGAGTCATTGCCGATATCTTCTCATTTTTCCTGTTTCTTAATAAATTTCTGGACAACTCTAAACTAGATTAACGCGAAAAAATAGATTTTTCAGATTTCATAATTATTCAATGACCCACAAATTTTCATAATCACGCTATAATTTTTCTGACTCTCCGGTAAAGTTTTGGGGATTTTTTCAAAATTTTACTGAAACCGAAAATTCGTGAATGTCAATGAAATGTTGATGACATTGAGTAACAATTAAACAAAAACGTTAATTTTTTACCGTAAATTTCATCAATTGTCCCCAGAAATTATAAAAAAACTTGAATAATTAGATTTCCGCAATAATTTCAATGAAGACGATGTACTCACCATGTCGACGTCGCGCGCACACACAGGAGGGAATTTTCAACGTCTCGTTTATCGACTTGCCAAGTTACACGGACATACACCCACACATACCATCATGTGCTTGTCTTTGTCTGGTAATTCATTCTCTTGAGTAACTGGGGGTGGCAGAGGGGCGCGGGCGCGATATCCTCTTACGTCTTGATAAGAAAAAGAATGGGGCGGCGAAAAACAACAAGAGGGTGGTGAATTTTTATGACTTCAGAATTAGCGGGTGATTAAGATGAAAACCGGTGGCTTCAAGTTTCAAGTTTGCCGAGGACTTTGCGACTACTCCCGTGTATTATTCAGTACACTCCGGGAGAGATCGATAAACACCCACCACGTGACGTCACGCCCCCACAGATACCGAGTCCTGAGGCATATGGACAATCGTGTTTTTGTATGGGTCTTTTATGAGGCATTACAATAAAACCCCATTCTCGCTCATATTCAAATCATTTTTCAGTTTATCCAATTTTTTACCGATTTTTTTTGCCGATTTTTTACCGATTTTTTTCGGGTTTTCACAATTTTGTTAGGATAATTACAACATATTCGAATTATTCAATTTATAAAAGTCCTCCGAGGTATTAATTTCCTCCAATTAGTCGCTGGATTGATTTTCAATTTTTCCTCAATTTATTTGTTAATAAATTTTTGATAATTCGAGTAGTTGAGGGCCCGTTGCTAGGAGCCTCAGTACAATGAGAAAAATTACTGTAGCCCAATTAAATTAACTAACGTCAAGTAAATCCTCACGTTTTTACAGCAGATATTCGTATGGATCCGGAATACCGGGTATTTCCCTGGTGGTAAATTAATTTGGCAAAAGTATTTTTTTTCGGTGTGGGAGGATGCACTGGAGAATATATAGGTGTAGAGTAGAGGTCGTTGACTTACCTGTTTCTCCTTTCAAAAAGTCTTGATCGTCGATCCCCACTTACTCCTCTGGACAGACGTCGCACGTCGAAACTGACGTAATGCGAATAGTTTATTTATTGTAACGGTAATGAATGATTTCAGACGATTTTATTACGACGATGGGATAAAGGAGCGCTACCTTGGAGCTTTCCACTCAGTCACACGAAGCCGCACAGATCTCGTCTTCAACCCTCGTTCACTCCCTCATTTCCAACCCCTCGTGTGGCCCAGACACGCATGCGCCAGGGGGTGAGACTCAGAAAATACGAAAAATGGGCTTTTCAGAAATACATTGGGGCTATTCCCTGAGATTGACATTCTGAGGGAGTGATGAGTATTCCTTTGTATTAGCAGGACGAAGGGGAAGAAATCTTATTGAATCTCGAAGAATCGGAAACGGTCTCAGGGATTCACTATTGATTCATAAAATTTCATTTGAAAAAATTCAGATTTTTACATTTATATCAGAAAACATTCATCCATTCATTAAATAATAATTTAAAAAGTTATTTGACTAAATTACTCAGGCATCAATGCATCAATTGATAACAAGAGATTGAGATGAATCTTTTTTTTATAATCATTCTCTTACTACAGAGAAAATAATTAATTATGATAAGTAGAAATGTAGAATCATTACTTTTTCTTATAAAATTATAAAAAATCGTGCAGTAATATTCTACTAAATAAAATAATTAATCCTAAATAGCATTTTGGTGGAACCCAAGGAGCATCGCTCTCACAATATCTCCTTCATTCATTTCTCTTCGATCAGCAGTCCTCCCTGGCAGCATCAAAAGGGCATTTGCATTCTTGCAACTGAGAAGTTTACTGCTAATTTGATTGCCAGTGCTATAAGCTCTAGGCATCAGTTCCTCCTCCGACCACAACAAAATAGCTCTCGCATACTCAGGCCGGGGATCCAATTGGTATGATGACGTTAACTGCAAGCCGTAAATTGTGAGAATTAAATTTAATAGATCAATAATTAGAAAGTTTTGTGTGTTTTTACTGCACTTTCAGCACTTCATCACAGGAATAATCCTGTTATTAATATTTGGAAAGAGTAGAAAATATTTACCCGAGCCTGAACAATAGTTGGCTGCATATAATTTCCAGCTAGACGATGTAACAGAGGAATGGCGAATAGATACGCGGTAACGGTAGCAGAGACAGGATTTCCAGGTAGACAAACAAAGTATTTGGTTCTGCCATCGAATTGACAAGTTGCGAAGGTCGTGGGTTTTCCTGGTTTCATGTTAACTCTGCCAAAATGAATGTCAGCCTTGAAGACGTGATTGAGGATAGGTTTCAGCATGTCCCTGTCCCCCATAGAGACTGATCCAGTGGTGATGAGGACATCTACACGGGTCAACGCGTCTTTCATCGAATTAATCATGACGTTCTCGTCGTCGATGGCAATCCCCATGTCCTTGGGGTCGTACCCCAACTCCCTGAACAACATCATCAGAGTAATCTTGTTGCTGTCGTAGACGTGTCCAGCTCTAGGCTCCTCTCCTGCCTGCTGGAGTTCGTTTCCAGTCGAGAGAATTCCCAGGGTTGGGAGTTTAATCACTTTGACTTTGGTGCAGCCACAGGCAGCTAGAATCCCCATCTCCACTGCTCCGATCTTTGTGTGACGTCTCAAGAGTAGAGATCCTTCCTCGATGTCACTGCCAATGGGCCTGATGTCTCGATTCTCTTCTGGTGAAATTAAAATCTCGATTAATTCCTCTTCCTTGCCATCTGGGGTTTTCTCCAAGAGCTTTGTATCCTCCACCTGGACGACTGCTGTCGCTTCCTCTGGGACTGGAGCACCTGTGTTCACACGAACGCAGAAACCCGACTCCAGTCTCACTGATCCTGGCTGGAATTATCAAGAATTCAATGTTTTTACGATTGATTTTGGATATTCCGTCTAAAAATGTAGTTCAATCACAGATAGAATACAGGATAATGAAGGTAAAAATATCTAAATGAATTTGGAAATATTTTACCGAGTGTCCAGCTTCAACTCCACCTAATACTCGTCTCTGTCCCGCACCATCACTCGCAATAACTGCATATCCATCTTTTATAGAAGCCCTGAAGGGTGGTAAATCGCACTGAGCCCTGACATCATCAGCCAAAATCCTCCCATGACAATTCCACAAATCCACGAATTCGTTCTCCCCCTGCCAACTGTAACCGTTGATTATTTCTCTTGCTTGCTCCATGGATATCATGGGATACGGGGATTCCCGCAATCTGCTGGCCACGTTCCCCAGGTTCAAAGCAATCATCTCGTTTTCCAAATGATGATGTCTGCATCCTCTATTCTGAACTTCTTCATGGATTTTTTTAATCTTTGGTTGCAGATCCAGGAGAAGATCAACTGCATGAGGAATAGTCATTGCGATTGCGTCGAGACATTCTCTCGCAGCTTTTGGCGATCCTGGGAGGTTTATTATGAGGGTCTTGTTGCGAATACCACAAATGGACCTGTAATCAATCGATTGATGATCATTATCTAGGCGTATGGCACCTCTGAGAGCTTTATCTTCAGGAAAATTGTTCGATCGTGAAGAAAAACTCCGTACGAATGGTGACAAGTACCTTTATTGATTTTATTGTGTAAACAAATATTCGAAGGGGATTATACCTTGACAGTGCAGCCATTGGAGTAATTTTTAAACTAGCTGTCAACATGGCAACAGCAATCCCAGGGGCCTCTCTGTGAATAATTTTTTTAGTAGCTTCTGGAGTTACATCTCGAGGTGAAAAACCAGTGCCACCCGTTGTCAGGATGACATTTACCTTCGCATCATCCGACCACTTCGTCAATGTCTCCTGAAATTTAATGTTCCATTAAAGGAAAAACCAGAATAATCTGTTTGAATCATTACCAGATTCAAAATGCATCAACAAAATTTTTTTAGAATAAGTACTGGACCCATAATTATTGCAAAAATGTTTACCATGATGGAAAATTCATTGTCAGGCACAATAGCCACTTCAGCAACATATCCCTTGATGATTCTTCCGCTGTCAGTGCTGTGATCAGTTATCAAGTGCACCAGTTCCTCTCCACTTCTGTCTTTTGTTGGATCATGAGAGCAAGTGTCACTAACTAAAAACATAAATAATAATCTTGTAACTCTATTTAACCTCAAACCCCAATTTTCCCGATTTTATCATTGTAAAGATAATTTTTAACGTTCATCTTCCTCGTTCATTCGAGGAATAGATGTCAAGTGTCAATTTATTGGTGAATATCACAACAGACGATGATGAGGTGGAAAAATATTCACTTACTGGTTAAAATTCCGAATGTTATTGGAGCCATGATGTTCTTGTTGGAACCTCCCTGATACGTCAACGTATCTTCCAGATTAATTCTTACGTAATCATGATAACGATGGAATTTAATAAGTACTAATAATTTATAAAATCTCTAAACATCACGACATTCTCTCCCCAACACGACACACACACGTCATCAATTTATTTCATTGAAAGCATGTAAAATGTTTTCAAATAAAATATTCTGAAGTCATGGTACTCTAGTATATATTTTATTCAGAAAAAAAAAACAACGTCGATCTAAACCTCAAGACTTTACAGCAAATTGAGTCCTCGAGGCTTTCAAACAATTTCTTACTGATCTAGTAAAAATATTCGGAAGATGGTAAAAGTTTAAATTGATTGAGAGGACAGATATATTGGCACTCCTCAGATGCGATGTCGACGTGACTTTAATAATCAACTAATCCTCTGTAACAAATGAAATAAATCCATCAGTACCGGAAATTTAAAAATCAATTCAAATACATTTTATCTCTGAATCTGTGCAAAATAATGAAATTTCTGTAGACACCATTGTTGTAGCTCTCACTTCGTTCCACAAAAAAGGTATCGTGAAAAATTTTGTAATCTTTCTCAGATTCAGAGATATTTGTTGAAACTTCACGAATGAACGAGTCGTCTTGTAATTCTCACATTTTCGCTACTGAATTGTTAATGATTTAATAATTATTAGCTACCTGTTGTTGCTTCGAGGACTCAACGAACGTGGAGAAGAGTCACGATGTCGTCTTCTGGAATCCTGTCGACTCTTCTCTCGGTCGTCGTATCGATCTCGTTCCTTATCACGATCCCTGTCTCGATCTCTATCCCTTTCACGATCTCGATCTCTGTCCTTTTCTCTGTCTTTCTCTCGATCTCGTCCCCTGTCTCGATCACTATCGACATCCACTCTCGAATCACGATCACGTCTCTCTCGTCTACGAGGTGGAGTGCGCACAGGACTTGGAGATCTTGATAATGAGGATCGAGAGTCTGAACTGTGACCTTCGTATCTGTGTCTTCGTTCTCGCTGCCTGTGGATTATCATTTTTTACAATAAGTATTATCTAATTGGCGTTTTTTCTTCAAATTTTAAAGTAATTTCCATTTCCTACTTTCTTCTCAGCTTCAGCGACATTTCTCGAATCTCATCCTCACGATCTTGTCTTTGTTGCTCCATTTTTTCAATTCTCGCCTGTTCAGCTTTTTTGTCAGCTTTATCTGAAATTCAACATTTAAATTATTATTTTGTTCTATTTTTAGCCTTTCGTAATTGCATGAATCGAAATTATTTGAAAGAGATCCCAGAGTTTTTAACAGAACAGAATTTTTATTTGCATATCACTACGAATTTTTTAAAGAAATTAATTTCTGTGTAGGTGTAAATGAGAAAGCTTACATTGACGATTTAGTAGGGCTTGCATCTTCTTCTTAAGCCGCTCTTGAGGTGTGATTTTCACCGACTGAAAGGCATAACACTTGAGAAAAAAAGTTCTGTACGCAGCAATCCGTATAACAATGAAGATAATTCTTAACTAGAGATGCCACAACTATTCTACTACAGCCCTTGTACGCAAAACTCCTGTGACTCAGTCCAGCAGAACGTCACAGATAATTTTGCAAATAAACAGTGAACATGATATGAGAATAAAATAAAATGAATCGATGGCACTGTCTTCCGCATTTGTCCACCAAGAAAGTAACGGTGGCGTGAATGTTTTAAGAATTTTTTTAAGGGAAAATGTTTAGTATTGGTTCGTTTGTGCATTTTCAAAGTGACTAAAAAAGCGTTACGGTTCTTACTGACTTTGTGTCCGGCACCAGAATTTGTACTTAACCCTGCTTTTGGCTTGTTCCTGAAATAAAAAAGAATTTTTATTGAATTTCTTTGATTATTTGCGATTCTATAGCGATAGCGATATTCTTTACGATGAGACTTACACGTTTGTACTAATATTTGGTGGTTTTGGTGCATCATGGAGATTTTTTTCTTCATTATCTGATATTTCAAGCTCCAAACTTGAAGACTTTCCACGTCGACCATAATACCTGCAGAAAAAAATGCATTTTAATTCACTAAAATACACCAATCCCTTATTTTTGATAAAAAATTTTATTTTCAAGATTTTGAGATTTTTTCGGGAATAATCCAGTTATTGGAAGTATTTAGCCATTAAATTTTACCTGGGCAACGCAGAAGTCTTATTCTCAACACTCCGCGACCTCCTAGCAACACTCCCCCTCGCCTTGCTCTTGGACCTCGACCTGGACCTGTCGAGACTCTTGCTCCTAGACCTCGACCTACTCTTGCTCTTGGAATACCGCATCTTTCGCCGTTCCAAAGGCGATCTGCTCCTGGATTTACTCCTGGACTTTGATTTGCTACTCGAGGAGGTGCTCCTCGACCTCGATCGCCTCCCCCTTGACCTGGACCTTGAGGAGGACGAGGACCTCGATCTGCTGTGACTCCTCCTGTGTCTCGACCTATTCCTCCTCGATCTGCTCCTGGTTCTGGATCTGTACCTCCTAGATCCCCCACGATTTCTCCTTCGAGACCTAGAATCACTTCTTCTGCTGTCTCTAGATCTGTACGACCTCGATCGATTCCTCGAGCGGCTCCTTGACCTGGAGACACTGACTCTCCTCGTTCTATCATTAACAGGACTCTCGGATCTTCTTCTTCTGGATTGTGAATAATTGATCTTTTTAGCATTGGAGGAAGTGACTTGTGAGCAGCTACCCTGGGCCTCCTCCTCACCCCCAAAACTAGTGATATACATTATCTGTCCAGTATTTACTGGTGAAACAGATCTCGACCGGGACTTGGACGATGACTTTCTGTAGGGATTGTACTCTGGACTCTCTCGAGCAGCATAACTAGGTGGACTCATCACCCTCCCAATCATCTTCTTCTCCCTAAAAGCCCGTCGCTCCCTCCTGGATCTCCTCCCCGAGTACATCGCCTTCTCCTCCTCCTGCTTCCTGGCTTGCCTCAGGGTCTCAGCCTCCTCAAAGTCCTGCGTCAAAAAACTGAAGTAGTCTGCCCCCATGAGCCCGTACTTCTGGGCAACTTGATTCATCTCGTGAGCCTGCGATGGCTCGATCTGGGAAACGTCGACGCATATGTCAAGGTCGATGTCACTGTCCTCGTCCTCTGGTTTCTCCTCCGAGGCATTTGGCTCAGGGCGAATGGTCTCTGGGATAGGCTCATCGGTGTCATAATTATAGCCAATGGCTGCGTTGTTACTCGACTTCTTCTTGTCCTTAACGTCGAGTTTCGTTGAGGAGCCGAACTGCTCCTCAAGATGAATCTGGTGGAGGAACTTCTCCTCGGTAACACCCAGGAACTCGTTCTGCACGATTATGCGGTAGCGCTCGTAGTTGATATGCCTGTCCTCGCTGGTGAGGGCTACATCCATGTCTATCGTGTTTGGGGGATCTGGGATCCAGTCCAAATGCGCCCGGACGTCAAATCTGTCAATTAGATTGTCATCGTGACCCTGCCAGGGCATCCTGCAATAAAAAATTCATTCAAAATAATAATCGATTGAACACTGATAAATCATTTCCTGAAAATTGTGTAAAAACCTTGCGTTAAAATACATTAAAGACGTCTAAATTCAATAAAAAATTCAAATTCAACAAGAAACTAAAAAAAAAGTGATAAAAAAACAAAAATCTCTGCTTAACAATTACAAATGGTGTTGTATCATTTTTTATGGATCTCGATAATGTCGTTAGGATATATTTTGGAATAAAAACAAATGATTTTATATAATTTTTACATATTTGCTGAACTATCTCCGGCTGCTGCAATAGCCGCATCCAAATGTATTTTACAGGGTCGGCCATGAAGTTGAAGAAATTGCGTGGGATCAGATTTCTGTAAAAAAAAATCAACATTCAGTCCGGTTATTCTTTAAAAATCGAGAATGTCCTTTAGATGCAGTGACTTACAATTTTTTCATAATAATCTCTTCGTCGTTCGGCTCGTCGGCGGTAATCGACCAGCATCCCCCGGATTTTTTTCTCCTGCTTCCTGGCCTCGTGCCACATCCGTCCACCAGTTTTTTTCACAGAAAAACTCATCATTTACCACTAACTGTTACAACTCACACTATTAACTAGATTATTATCATAAATTCATTGAACAACATTTATAAAACAATTGGAGCACCATCGATTGTCACATCAGTTACTCATTGTGGCAGCCATGTTGGATGGAGACGTATGGTGAAGCCAAAGATGATTGACTAAAGCAGAGGTTCAGTTCTAGGGGTTTAAATGACCCCAGCGGCATCGTAGTACTGCACCCCAAGAAAGGGAGGGCGCTATACGCAATGCGGGGGTGTGCATCAAGTCGACGGGGTGAATTTTATTTTCTGCGGTATGAATGCTTTTTGTTTTTTATTTGTTTAACTGAGATTTTACCGAATTTAGAACGAGGGAAGAGGGAAACCACCCCTTGTGGAATTTCAAATGAAAAAAATTATTCAATGTATTGAATATATACTACTAATGAAATTAAAATTTCATAATTGGCGCGTTGTCGAGTTGGCAGCGTGCTCGCCTGCCACGCGGGCGGCTAGGGTTCGATCCTAGCGCCATTCATTTTTTTTTTTCAAAATAATTCCAATTTGATCTTTTTTTAATGGCTAATCAATCGAAAGATTGTTTAAAAACTGAATTTTTGAAAATCGAGAAGATATTCAATGAAATTAACAATTTTGAAATTTTTTTTAAAAATTCCTTTTTAAAATATATACCCGTAATGAAATTAAAATATTGTAATAATGCGTTATCCTAGTGGTAACGTGCTTGCCTACCACGCCGACGGCCCGGGTTCGATCCCGCCGTCATTCATTTTTTTTTTTTAAATAATTCCAATTTTTTCTTTCGGTAGGTATTCACTGCAATTGAAAAATGCGAAATTTCTGAAAAAGTATCAGGGTAACATGAACATCGAGGAGCTATTCACTGAAATTTTCACTGAAAGTGAAAAATTCGAAATTTTTATAAAAGTATCAGGGGAACATGACAATCGAGGAGCTCTTCACTGAAATTTTCACTGAATGTGAAAAATTCGAGAT